ACCTCGACGCCTTCATCATCATCCATCTGAGCCGCAGAGAAGGGATGCCGAATCGTGAAGGGTCGAAGTAGGGTGTCAATGTCCTAAAGACTACTAGTCGACTGATTGGGCATCGATAATCTGATTGAACCATCCAAAGCTGACCACTGTCAGCAAGTCGTGTCGTCAACAGCAATCACTGTGTTCAACCACGATTTAACGATGTGGAGTAAGCTAGGTTTAGGAGGCCTACAGCTCGAGTATTTCATGGGAGGAAAGTGCACCTGACAAAGTATCACCAGCTGTCTGAGACAAAAGACGTGAGAAGCAACAGTGATTGTAAAAGCACATATGGCTGATGATACATCGCTCCTGCTTTCATGCTGTCCTCCTCTGCAATCATCCGTGTGGGCCAGGCATGTGGAAAGCGATGCGAAAGTATCGTGAACGTGGAAAGTAAAAGCAGCGCGTCTGAGCTCAGACAACTGATAGTCAGAAAATTCCACACAATGACAAATTCCCTGATTATCGTCTGTCTGAGCACAAAGAAGAAAGGGAAGTGATGGTGATTGTAGAATTGTGCGTTGGGTTTTTGTTCAGGTTCTTGTGATCTGTGAATACACAGAGAAAGTAGCACGTCTGTTAGCGTGAAGCATCGAACCAGATCTGACACGAACCAAATTATTGACACCATCGTCGTAAATCAGTGGCACCCTTGAGTATGGCAACGGTCCTGCTCATCCACATGGACCAGTCGTTGGACTCGAGTGAAAAGAGTACGAGGGGTGAATTCTGTTTCTTAAAACAAAACCGAAGATTCGCAGGGCAAGAGATGGCTGATAAAGCAAGGTTTCTTCATGAAAATCACCGCTTGCCTATCGTCCATTTGAGCTGTCCATATATGGATGGACTACGAGGGAATATAACTTGCAGGGAGTCAGAACATATCCTAGACAAAAGTTCATAGAAATGCTTACCTTGAGCATTGAGATACATAGTTCAATCGGTTGATGACTCATTGTTCTCGGGTGAGGTCAGGGTAAGGTTTAAGTTTGGGCGCAGATCAATAATTAAGCGAGTCTATGCTCGAGGACGGCGGACGCATGAGCACTGCTGTATCGATGGTCAGCCTAGCATATGTCGTCAAGAGTAGTAGAACAGGATAAACAACTTACAGCTGGCCAAAACTAGATGCGCTATATAAGCCGTCTCCAACACAAGTGCCACTTTTTTGGGATGCATACGGGCGGGCGTGAACACATTGTAAGTCTTAAGAGAAGACGCCATTGAGCTGTGAAATGAGTATGCCAGCTGGCTAAAAGGTACGTGTATAAATACTTACATGTGGATTTGAATCTTATGCCGGATTGGTGCGAAGATGAGCTGAGAGGAATAGCGGGATGAGTGGTATCCTGAGGCTGGTGAAGAAGTTAGAGCATTATCATGTTTAGAAATGAATACAAGGTGAAGGGTAGGAGCGAAATGGAAAATATGAACTTAGCGTTATGTATACATGGGTAGCCAGCCGGACATTTTGGAGTTTGTGGCGTATAAAAGATGTACACTAGCACTCAGCCTTTAGGGCAGCAGTACTCGCAGTAGACTGAATGGGTAGTAGAAGTGGCAGCCAATGTCCTTGAGCACGAGGAAGACTGTGTCTGGAGGACCTGTCACAGGAGCAACACTTTAGATAAGTACTAGGAAGACCAAATACTAGATGGAAGATAGTCGTTCTTCCTAATTTTGATACCAGTGCCTGTCCATCGAGCTTCACGAGCATGTCGATTCTTGTCCTCCATGATATGATCGATGCAAGAGAGTCAACAAGAGAGTATGAAGGGCGCCAGCGGACAAAATTCACAGCGGTCCACGCGCGAGCCCTGGTTGAGTTTTACTCCCGGGTTAATTGGGTTCGAACCCCAGCCCTCCACACTGTTGGACTACATGTCGACACCAGCAGCTTTCCCACCACTCACCCCAAGAGGTGTGCGATCGAGTAGTTCAAGACACTAACCTGTCGTAACTTGGGTACCCCCTACGCCTACCGTGACAGCGTGATGACAGCGTTACCGATCATGTAATTTAGCCATATTAGGTAGTCGTTCGTCGTACAATGTCAAGTCAAAATGAATCAATTCAACTATTGCAAAGCAAAACAGACAGCTGCAGCGTGAAAACGAGTACGTATGCGACTGGAATAGGTGCGTAAAGTAAGTAATCACGAATGTCCAGATGATGTATTAGAATAATGTGAATGATGATTTGATCCGTAATGCATCGTTTGATAGGAATCGTCCTCGAAGTCCGTGATGTATGCAGTTTTGTCGTCGTTATTACTTGAAGCAAACCATGAGTCGTAACGTGTAAATTGATGAGTCGTAGAATACATAATGAATGAGGTTTAAGAGAGAGAGATGCGAGTCATTGACGAGACACGTTGAATCAATATTGATGCGTCGTATTGATATTAATCAGTGATCACTCACGTGTTCTCGAAAATCACATCCAAGATCTGACATTTAGCAGGTACCGTCTTTACATGCTCGTGTTTCATTAAGATAACTATCTAAACCTATTCTACAGTAGTAAAAACACCCCCTTTACAGTACTCGCCTAACAATTTTACGATGATTTGAGGCCGCTGGCGAGGAACTTAAAATGTGTTGCTCGTAACTTCATGTGGCTATGTATTAAGGTTTTTTTGCTTATCTAATGTTGAGCTCTGTGTTCGGGATTTTGCGAACGCACACCTCTTGACTCACCCCACACGCTTCACATGCAATGACGTCATCATGGACCGGCTGATGTCATGTGACATTAGCATGACTCCACCCAGCACTATTGGGAGCTTAGTCAACCCAAGCGTTGGAACCAAGTCCTGGGGACTTGCTCCCCTGGTGGTAGAGGCCTTATCAGCTTCGGTCGGGAGGATGGCCTGAAGTTAAATAATTAATACCACACCACGGGCAGTTTGCAAGTTCAGTCGGCACCACCGGTTCACACCCTTTCGCGATTTTGTGTCAAGATATGCCCTTATATAGGAATTTCCCACGTAAGCCGAGTTTCCTGCGCAACATAAGCCGCTGGCACCTGAAGATGCCGGTGCAATATAAGCCGTAGAACACGCAGTCATAGGGGCCTGAGGGTCACACCAAGAATATTGCTGAAGGATAACACTGGTATGAAGGGGGGGTTACACCCCCCGTTAACACCATCTCGGGAGATAACATTGTTTGACTAGCAACGGAAGTGGAGTGGCGTGTATGGACTTAATGCATTGCAAAGAAGAGTTTCTTGATACTTCCGCTCTACAGGCCTTTCCGGGGTGTGCAGCCATTGGCCAGTTGTTGGTTGGGGGGATTACGTATATAGAAACGGACTTTAGTAGAAATATGTATCCAACACATGTGACTATCATAGGGTACGCCCCACCAGTCAATAAACGAGGATTAATTAAAAAAAAAAATTCACAGCGATTTCAATCAAGGTTTCGGACTTTCGTTTCACTTTCGGGTGCTAATTTTGGCTTTTCCTTTTCGCATTATGTAAGGCTTTCAATTTCATGTTTCGATTTCGATTTTGGACCAGCCAACCTTAGTCACGTGACCCATCTCCCGCCACAGCTTCCCAAACAGCCTCAACGGTTCAGGATGTCGCACAAAAAACAAACGAGATTGCTGGTGATGCCCAGTGAAAACTGGACATTCTGAAATCCACACAAACATACATACATCGTAGATTTTCGTGGCAACATATTTCCATAGAAAATGGGACAGATAGTAGATTGTAAATCAACGCAAATATCAGGACCTCGATTTTTTGTTTTCCAATAGCGGCAGGGCAGAATATACGGAAAACGACAGATTTCGACTGTGCACACAAAACATGAGAAAAATGATGGAAAACGGTGCATTTCGACTGTGTGTACAAAACTGTTTGATACAAAATCCCTACTGGTCCTGGTCCGGCTACCCATCCTGCACCTACACCCCCCTGCGCGCTCGTGGTCCTGCTTGTTCTGCTAATAGACCATTCCGTTGGATATCTTGACAATAACATCGGCCGTGTTTGCATGCCAGATGCCCGAAGCAACCTGTAGATACTAGATCAGTATGGTGTAGTAGACACAATATAGATGTACCACTTACCAGTTGAGCAGCTTCAAGCTCGTATTGCTGATGAAAACGAGCTCGTAAGGCCGCTGTTTGACCGAGACAAGACAGTACTCACTTTTTTGGTGTCCTTTGGTAAGCCAGTCCAATAGATCTTGAAGTCAGCCATTGTCCCGTCCTTCGCGACTCCATGCAACCAGCGGTGAGCGCAAAGTGTGCTGTAGTATACAATGTTAGTAACACTTCACATTGCACTAGTGATAAAATGCTTACCGTCCGTTCTTGTTTGGGCCAGGTCGCATGTGTTTTGCATTTGTCATTGATGCTGATGGTGTTGGACTGGGAGCAGCATTGTCGGAAGCCGATATTGTTGGCAGGGTGTTAGTGGATGGCCCAGGTTTGCATTCTACCGTAGATAAGATGAGGTATGTAGGGTACAAAGTAGCTTTGTGTATATTTACATCTGTTTTAGTAGATTTCAAAATGGCCAGTTTTCACTGGGGGTGATGGTACTACCACCGCAACCGTCCTCGCTCGTGCTATCTACGCTGAGGGTGTCAAAAATGTTGCTGCAGGATGCAATCCTATGGACCTCTGTCGCGGTGCTCAAGCAGCCGTTCAAAAAGTGGTTCAGTTCTTGGAGGCCAATACCAAAACTATTACCACCACCGCTGAGATTGCACAGGTCGCCACCATCTCTGCTAACGGTGACGAGCACATCGGTGGGTTGATTGTGCAAGCAATGGAGAGAGTTGGAAAGGAGGGTGTCATCACCGTAAAAGAGGGTCGGACAACCGAGGACGAGATTGAAGTGACAGAGGGCATGCACTTTGACCGCAGTTATATCTCCCCATACTTCATCACCAACGTCAAGACTCAAAAAGTTGATTTCGAAAAGCCCTTCATTCTCCTCTCTGAGAAGAAAATCTCCTCATTGCAGGACATCCTCCCATCTCTCAACACTGCTGCCTCTGCTCTCAGACCACTGGTCATCATTGCAGAGGATTTAGATGGTGAAGCCCTCGCAGCTTGCATCCTAAACAAGCTCTGTGGCCAGCTCCAGGTTGTAGCCGTCAAAGCACCCACGGTGACAACCGCAAGAGCATCCTTGGCGACCTCACCATCCTCACTGGCAGCACAGTCTTCACCGACGAACTGGACATCAAACTCGAGCATGCAACAGCTGACCTCCTGGGCAGCACTGGTAGCATCACCATCACCAAGGAGGACACCATTGTCCTCAATGGTGCCGGCTCCAAGGATGCCATCTCTGCATGGTGTGAGCAAATCCACGCACTCCTGAACGACCCTACCACGTCTGAGTTCGACAAGACCAAGCTCCAAGAACGTCTCGTGAAGCTCTCAGGAGGTGTTGCTGTCATCAAAGTTGGTGGATCATCTGAAGTTGAGGTTGGAGAGAAGAAAGACTGGTACGACGATGCACTTAACACAACATGTGCAGCTGTTGAGGAAGGTATCCTCCCAGGCGGCGGTGTCGCACTTCTCAAGGCCAGCCTTGTGCTGAAGACTGCCGCACCTGGCGAACCTGCCTCCTCCGATCCTGACATCATCCCAACTGCCAACTTTGACCAAGGCCTTGGCATCAGCATCATCCGCCACGCATTAGCACAGCCCGCACGCACAATCCTCACCAATGCGGGTGAGGAAGCCAGCGTCATTGTCGGCACGCTCATCAACTCATCCAACAACTCATTCACATACGGTTACGACACATCGAAGGGTGAGTATACCAACATGATCACACGTGGTATCGTCGACCTGCTCAAGGTCGTACGGACAGCGCTCCTGGATGCTGCAGGTGTCACGAGCTTACTGACAACAAGCGAGTGCTGCATTGTAGATGGCGAGGAGGAGAAACCTGCTGGTGGTATGGGTGGTGGCATGGGAGGTATGGGCAGCATAGGAATGGGCAGGTTCTAAGTAAGGGCTTGAGCTGACTTCGAGCCTTACCTGTGACGCACGGGGTACATTAATTTCTATCCGCCGTTGGTCGTCGCCTCATTTATGCTGATTTATTATACTTTGCTTTGTCGCACACCATAACGCCCCCTAACCATCATGCACTTTATGTATTTATATTCCACATTATTAGTTACTTACTTGCATGGAATTGAACACCACTCAGTTACGTCTTCTGATGTTGTGTGAATGACATACTACTAAACGAAGTTATGGGTGGTAGAGTCTGATATAAAATACAAAAAACAGGTCATCTTGGAACATGGAGGGACAGTCCAACTTGAAGGTAAACTGGCAAACTTATAGCTTACTAACACTTTGCTGAGGTGGAACCGCGTAACTGAGAGACCCAGGCAACAAGGTCTCGCCTTCCTGTTGCCCCCCATGCAGCAACCACCATCCTTGCCATTCTTCTATGGTATTCAGTGTGACCCTCACCAGAAGGTGGAAACATATCTGGATTGATGAGCAGCATCCCAGGATGGTTTGCAGGTGTTGTGGCAGGTGTAGAAAGACTTGGAGATGATGGGGTGCGGTTCCTGCATATCTGACTGCCACTGATCTTCTGGCATGAAACTGACATATGATCTGGAATGGATTGTGTGGGCAGTTGCAAGATCAAGTCCCACTGCCCAGAGGCTATGTCGGACAAGAATGGAGAATTTGCTAGTAGTAATGTCAGCTGTTTTCATGTGCTAGTGAATTGCAGTAATACAATCAACATACCTAGCATCTGAAAGGAAGTAGAACCCACAATACCAACATCCACAGAGTTGGGATCACAGTCAGCCATGTGCTGACCATGTGGCATCAATAAGACCACTTCTCCTCCAGTGATTACCTGCTCCATGCTTGCACCTGACTCTCTACGCTCAACTTGCTGGCCCCTGGCGTTAAGCCCAAGGCCATTGAGTGAGTCCAAAGGCCTACTCCCATAGAACTTTGTAGGTGTGAGTTCAGATGAGAACACGAGCATGACAACATGAGTCAACTCATGTATGATCACCAGATGAAGAAAAAAGGCTAGAGTCCTGAGCATTTAGGTCAGCTAGCTAGTAGTAGTATAATCATGACGCTCACTGTTTAGCCCGAGGAGTACTTGCCCCAGTATACAAGTCATAAACATCGCTGTGAAGGGAAAACTGCAGTCGCCATGTCTGCCTTTCAGCTGAAGAGAGACTCAGGAAAGGGCCCTGGTTATATCCAGGGAAGGTTTCAGGCATAGGAGTTTCACCATAAGAGTCTTCTAGCGTCACTACTTGTATAGCGGGGAAGTGTGAGTGAAGGTAACTCTTGATCTCTTCGATGCGTTCATTGATGTCCTCCATGCTTGGATTGGTAACTAAGGCATATAAAGTCATCTTGGCCAAATGATTCATTGCTGGGTGGCAGGCTAGGAAGTGTTGGTAGGCGTCTGAGACCAAGACACCAAATGCACTGGTGTGTGGTAGAATCTCGCCATGCAGGAATAGTGTGTCCGGTTGGTGGTGAGCCATAGGTTGGTGGGGAGCAACAGGTTGGTGGGGAGCAACAGGTTCATCAGGAGCTGCACTGTTCAGCTGACTGGGAGGTCTCCATAGGGCTCCATTCATCAGAGCTATAAGCCGGAGTGCTAGCTTTGGCAGAAATACAAAAATAGTCAAACATGTCTGTAGTGAGAAATCCAGAAGGAATTGAATGACTTGGAGCATACTAGCTTTGCAAAATATCTGGATTGGTGGATGGGGTGTGAGGATTATAGACAGAACGACTCAATGGAGCTCCTATTCGGACTCCAGAGATACCCAATCTGTACTTGCTGCTCAAATCCATGCTCATCAGGCAGTTGACTGCAGTTTGGCAAAGCTTTAGCTAGCTTTATTTGATGTATAATATTAAAAATATATATCACAATTGTAGATCACATGATAAAGGAATAGATAGGCAGACTACATTGGTGGGATCTCCCAAAGCTACAATATTGACAGGCATGTTGTTGGAATATGTATCTACTATTGCATAGCAAGCCTTCAATGGCAGGATGTGTAATCACCAACAGTGTGCCTAGAGATAATATTAACTTATGATACCCTATCAAGATGTTAGTTTTCAACCATGTATGTCTGGCTTTAGATAGGCAGCCTCCAATTGTGGAAGTCACCATCAATGACAGTGTGCTAGGTGATTATATTAAAATACATTGAATTATCATACCAGTTCAAGATGCTAGCTTACAACCAAGTATGTCTGGCTTTAGATAGGCAGCCTCCAATTGTAGAAGTCACCATCAATGACAGTATGCTAGGTGATTATATTAAAATACATTGAATTATCATAACAGTTCAAGATGCCAGCTTACAACCAAGTATGTCTGGCTTTAAATAGGCAGCCTCCAATTGTGGAAGCCACCATCAATGACAGTATGCTAGGTGATTATATTAAAATACATTGAATCATCATACCAGTTCAAGATGCCAGCTTACAACCAAGTATGTCTGGCTTTAGATAGGCAGCCTCCAATTGTGGAAGCCACCATCAATGACAGTGTGCTAGGTGATTATATTAAGTTATCATGTCATATCAAGATGCTGATGTACTATCAAGCATATCTGCTGTTACAAGGGCAGCTTCCAATGGTACGGTATATAATCACTGATAGTATGCTAGGTGATTATATTGAAATACATTGAATTATCATGCTAGTTCAAGATGCTAGCTTACAACCAAGTATGTCTAGCTTTAGATAGGCAGCTTCTGATGTCAGAAGCCACCATTGATGGTAATGTGTCGAGGTATGATATTGAGTTGGTATTGCCCTATCAAGCTGCTTATTCTCTAACAAGGATGTCTAGCTTTAAATACGTAGATTCCAAAGGCAGGATGTATAATCAGTAACAGTGTGCTAGGGCATAATATTGATTTAACAAGTCCCTATCAAGGTGATCGCCAGAGAGCAAGCATGTCTGGCATTGCAAGGACAGCTTCTGATGGCAGGAGCTACCAATAACAACATCAAGTCGAGCTCTGACATCAAATTATCAAGCCCCTATCAAGATGCTTGTCTTCAATTGTGTACATCTACTATTACAAGGGCAGTTTCCAATGGTGGCACATTATCATCAATGACACTGAATTGAGCTCTGACGATGATTTATCAAGTTGAGATATATTGTCTAACATAATAAGAGCACATCAAACTATGATACAGTACAACTATGAAAACAAGGAATTAATTGGCATCCGCCATAGCTTGTTCCTGCAAGGCAGCGTGTTTTTCCCAAATCTTTGACAGTGCACTATTTTTGCTGATAGTGCGCTGCGACGAAGAAGAATTTGGAAAAACCCGATTATTACAGGTGTTAACTATCTACTAAAAAGAGATGGTGTGCTTGGTTCGATGGAGTCCTGATGCTAGGGTGAAAGTGGCAATGAATGTTCGTAATATGGGCGAGAGCAGAGCAAACACATTGCTCGAGGATCCCCAGGTGAATTATTCTTACAGAATTTCAGCCTGATGCTAGGACTCATAATTCAAATACATACCGTCATGAAATGTTGTTGGGCTTGATCTGGACAGTGACGAAGAGGAAGGGATGGGATGTCAACGATAACAGCATGATCTTGCTCTGAATGCGAGCATGCACATGTATCAATCTAATCAAGATGGTCAGCTTCAATTTCACCCACAATCACTTTTGAGCGTCAAAGATAGGATTGAGAAACTCACCCCCAAAATCTCAATATACCCTGTGCAACAGCACCCGCTCCCGTGACGGCAGTGCAATGTTTGTATAGGCATGTTACAGAGTTCGTTCGTCGTCAGTAGAGTTGGTACTGTTGTCACACTGGACGCAGTCAGAAGAGAAGGTGGGTTGTTCAAGTTTTCGCACTTTTTGGCACTGGCCCGTGCACCTTGCCATCATTCCATAAAAACTAAGGTCAAAGGACGAGGAACTCGAGTCATCGTTGCACATGTGCAGATATCAGAGGCATAAGCTACCATCAAAGACATAAGTCTATTATCTATCCTGAAATGGAAACATAATCATATGTTCCGGAAAGTGAAAGTTCGTTTTGTGAAAGCAAACTCACTATTTGAGAGGACATCTCGAGATATTCTGTGATCAGACAGCTTAAGTGAAAGCATATCCTGAAATGGAAACATAATCATATATTTCGGAAAGTGAAATTTGGTTTTGTGAAAGCAAACTCACATGACCGGAAAGTGAAAGCGTTGATAATCAAACCCATACAGATTTTTTCCGCTGGCGCCCTTCATAAGAGAGTGGCACATGTGAGTACTTGAGTTCCAGAACGGCCTAGTGCTTAGTGCTTATTACTTACAGAGCAGTACTATTTGTTCAGACCTGATTTCTGCATTGCGGGTAAGTAGTCAATTCTAAAAGTTTGCGTTCACTTGGGATCCGAGCATGAAGCTTTGAAGCTTGAGGCCGAGGTAGAAGTCTTCGACTGAATATTGAACCACTTGAAGCAGATTTTGACATACAAATTTCAGTGCTCTCTTTCAAGTTGTGCAAGGATCAAACTCAATTTCCAATTTTCGATCCTAAATTTCGTAATTTGTCAATGACTTCAAGTTGTTTGCCAATGTGGTGCCAGAAGCCTGTACACCAGCTTCAGTCTCCCGCGTGTAATTTCCCCTTTGATTTTGGGATGGTGTCCGTACAAGTATTCGACAGATACCAAGGATGCCAGTGTATGCGACATGGTGTCACCATGGCATCATGCTAATTTTGGTGATAGTACAAGGGCTGAACGGTGCTATATCTAGCACGAACGCTATCGTCATACACCACTGACATTCCCCACTCGCTTATATCCATCCCTCGAACATGACTTTCATCTCCAATGATCCCAGTTGGTGGCCGACAATCAATTTAGGTGTTTTTGACAGCTATTGGATGGGTTTGTCGCATCAAGATGTCTAGATATAATATTGACTTGCAGTTTCGCAGTTGCTGCTGGCATCATAGTCGTGTACGACTGGGGTGAGCAGGACATTGTTCGAAAACCATTGATATCCTCATGATATTTTCAGTATTAACACTCGGACAAGAGGTACGTCAATGTTATCGCCGGAGCAGCCAACTCGCTAAGATGATGGTGTCATAGATTGAACTCATCTGGGTGAGTGACACAGTTGCATATCAGGACAAAAGCAACAGAATACAATGAACTTGCAACAGAGACAATGCTGGTCTCTCATAACTGTGCTATACCTGCTTGTTCATACCTCATATTATACTTTGGCATGATTGACAGTCGTGCTGACCCCAGTGTTCCAGATACGCTACGCTGGACTACCATATTCTGTGTATGTGTCGAGATAAATAACTTCACACTGTGCTAATGGCTCATCTCTGACAACTAGTGTCTGGCTTCTTCATATGTCTCATATGCGCTGTGTTCCATTTTCTGACTGGCGAGACACAGCAACTATACCGGTATCGCTGACAGATGCAGTGAGTATTCTGCAACCATCTCATTTCCATCTAATCAATACACTCAAATGTAGGGGTGAGTGAGATTTCAACCATTGAACTTGGCTCAACATAATGACTCAATGAGTGTAAGTTCGAGTCTTTGATACCAGTGCGAGGGTGTTCACTGATTGGGAGTTTTAGGCACTACTACGAACCACGTACTGAGTGTGACAAATGTGGTCATAGCTGCTGCGTTAGGCGGTGAGTCACCCAGTTGCAATACCTCTGTGGCATCGACTTGACTGAAACCTGATGCAAGTCATCATGATTGCTCGCTTACATGCTATGTATCAGGGGTCTAGAACGATGCTCACCTTCCTTGTTATTATCTTTCTGATGGTTAACATTGCCTGCATAGTACTCTTGGCAATAACACTCAACTATGTTGTAGGAGGTAGGCTTTACTTGTTGACTTGAGAACACAGCTCATTGGCCAAACAACAGAGGAGCTGATACTCCCTGGCACATATCTGTGCGTTTATGGAATGGAAGGAGGCGAAGCCCTTTTCATTTCAATGATTTGGATGCTCAACACTATCTGGGAGGTCCTTGCACTGTGTCTTTCAGTCTGGGTTGCTATGAAACACTTCCGTGAGCAACGACTCAACCAATCGACAGGATCGACTATTGGGGACTATTTCAGAGTGCTGATACAATCTCATGTTCTTTATTTTGCAAGGTGAGCTTGTGATGTGAGCGCGGTTATATTTGTTGCTCAATTTCCGCACATGTTAGCTTTGTCAGTGTCTCTTGCCTCCAGCTTGCTAATGTCTCGCCATCAATTGCGGTGCGCCGACCTGTTGCTGACATCTGCGTGTAACCACTGCTCATCATTTCTGTAGAATTCAATTTCTACTGGATCTCAGATACTCTATGCTGCTCTTTTGGTTTTAGCAGTCGTGCAGATGTTTGTGCTAGGACCACGCCTCATTCTTAGCATTCGAGAATACCACGCCAAACTCGTAGAATACTCTGACGCAGAAATTAGCATGAATACAATTGTTTTCCAAGAGGTACATGTATCCACTAACAGTACTGTGTAGAGAAATGCTTGCCGTGTGGTCTGCAGGGAGGAGAAATTTGGTGGAGGATCCGTCGTGGTATTCATTTAACATATGGTGTTTTGAAGTATATTTGAAAGGTCTAGGCAAAATCTATTTCTTGTTGTATCACTACTGGAACAAAGTACCCGTGCTTGAACCAAGTTGTAAGCTGAGACTAAGCTTGCCACGCTCATTCGTTGGTGACAGGGCATATACTCGCACTGTAAGTCTCTTTTGTAAATTGTCATGCTCAATATCGTTGAATAATGCTTGAACAGTACCTCCTTCCACCCTTCACGCATGTTTTTTTATTACTTCTCTGCTGCCCAGATGCCATGGATGATATGGGGTGCAAACCCAACGCATTGTTTGCAGTTGCATAGTGCGGCACTGTCTGCGATGGCACAACTCCAATAGTGTAGTGATGAATAAAATGTGGATAATGCCTCATCAATAATTTGACGGGTATGCTCAAAGCCTTCTGAATCAAAGCTCCCGTTGTCCAACTATCTGCTCCCCACTCAGTACACCTCATCTTCTCCCCATGCTCGTCAGCTTCACGCTTAGTGCAACACTTCAAGAATGAGCGGGCAGTTCACTGACTTCTAATTATGACATAACAAAAAATATCCAGTCTTTAATACACTGTGACTTGGAGACACCACAACTAAAATCAATACTATGACAAATCCATTGAAATCCTCAACCATTTTCTCCTCCATGCCGAACACTTGGCAAGCATGTCCCTACACAGTACTGTTAGCTGATACATGTACATGCTCCTGGAAGGCAATCGGATCCATACTAGTTTCAGCATCAGATTCGGCCACGAGTTTAGGTGAACCAAGTTGAATGGTCAAAATCTCACTCACCCCTACAAATGAATGTATTCATTGGATGAGAATGAGATGCAAGCTGCAGAATACTCACTGCATCTGTCAGTGAGACAAATGGTATATTTACTGTGCGCCGCCAGTCAGAAAAATCAGACATGGTGCATATGAAACATACTTAGAACGTTGATACTGAGAAATGGGTTATTAGTACAGTACCAATTTTTTGACCCCAAAACATACATAGAATATGGCAATCCAATATAGCGTATCTAAAGCATTTTGGAGTCAGCACAGTCATCAACCACACCACAGTATGACATGAGGTACGAACAACCAGGTAAAGCGCAGTCATGAGAGACCACCGTTGCTTCTGGTATAAATCCATTGTCTTCTGTTGGTTTTCTCTTGATATGGTGTCACTCACCCAGATAAGTTCGATCTATGACACCATTCTTAGCAAGTTGACTGCTCCGGTGTAGCACTCGAGCTCGCACTAGGCTCGTATTCACTGATTTCCCAATATACGTTCAATGCCCATCACTATCCGATGTAACCCGCACAACCCGACGCAAACCCGACGCTTTGACAAGTGGACCTGATGTTTTGGCCGCATCAAACCCGATATTTTCCCGCGCTCTTGCCCTATCCGTGTCCCGTCCCATCTTGCTAGCCCCACTAGGTGAGTAGTTGATTATTTCACACATTACTCACGTCGTAGCAAGCACTATTACATGTTTTCCCATCATCCGCAGCGCCTCATGTTAGTTTACATGTACTTCGGACCCGAAATCGTCGGCTGCTACTTTCGCCTATAGGGTTCCGTATTTCTACGTACTTATATATATATTGGACCGACTACGAGTATTTTCATCATCCAAGTAGGAGGGAGCCGTTCCCCAATACTTAGTGGTCAAACCCAATATTAAGTAGTTCTTTGTTGACACTGCAAATATTACCGCTCTTTCTATCCGAAATACCCGTCGTTAACATATATCCACATACCGCTCGCTTTCCCGACGTTCGCTATCGCCATTCCCGCTAACCCGCTAAACCCGAACCCAAAACCCGCTAACCCGCAACCCGAAAACATCGGACCTGATGCTTTGGCATCGGACATCGTAGATATACCTTCGGACTTTTTTTCCCGCGCTCGGACTTTTGACCATTTTATCATTTCACTAACTACAGACCAATCCAATAGCTAACCCCTCGGGTCGAACACACTTGTCTTGCAAGTAAAGCAGACTAGGCTGTGCACGACCACAACATGTTTTATATTGCTGGCCACTTACTTCATGTAGTGCCCAGCAATTGTTGTATCTCTACACCGGGATAACATCGACATACCTCTTGTCCGACGGTTAGTGCTGGAAATATTATGAGAATATCAATGGTTTTCGAACACTGCCTTGCTCACCCAAATCGTATACCACCACGACACCTGCGGCAACTGCAAAGCCGCAAGTCGATGTTAGAAGATCGAGACATCACCGACTGATAAAAACAAACCCGTCCAATAGCTGAAAACAATATCCATGATTATTGGCCACCAACTAGACTTCGGTCATGGCAGTATGTTTGTGCTAGATACACCACCGTTCAGCGCTTCATATCGCCAAAATCGACATGATGGCGATGAATATTGATGCCCGTCTTGGAGTCTAGTCCCTAACTGGGTGAAGTAAGTATTGCACGAAATATATCAAAAAGTTGAAGTCATCTTACCAAGCATACTAGGGCTCCATGAAAAACTACCCACAGAGTTAATGACGAGTTTTTAACTCACCCCCACCCTCGAGGGGTTTTTGACACGAGTTAAAAACTAGTTTTTGACCAGTTTTTGACAGACTCAAAAAATGCGTTTTTTCAGGTCATTTTGACATTTTTTCGCTACGGTAATGCAAATGCCCACTGTACATGCCGACTCATCCTTCCGGCCTCTGGGTGCAAATGTGACCTCGAGCACATTATTCAGTGCGGCTTCGGTACTGCCATAGAGTTCGACCCTCTCTGGATCTGGAGCATAGTGCTCAAAATTATATTTGGAGTTTCCGAGGGGGATACTATGTGGAAGTTGTGCGAGTGCCTTTCGGAGGTGGCTCAACTGTGCGTTGTTGCGCCCAATGTCCTCGAAGAAGCTCATCAAGGTAAATTTTTGTTGCAATCATTGAGCCGATTCAGCCGAACGCTCAATTGGACGGTAGTTGACAGATCGTCGGTCTATTCTTAACGATTTTTCGGTGATTTCGGATGTTCGGATCGATAGGCTATGTTCCCGAGATCATATACATATATATTTTAGTTTTTGACGAGTTTTTGACACCCCAATATCAACCCCGAGTTATCGACTCGTTAAAAACACGTTAAAAACCTGTCAAAAACTCCAACGTCAAAAACTCGGTAGTTTTTTACGGAGCCCTAAAGCATACCCAATAGAGGACATTGACACTCCGAAATCGAACATTTCCACACATCGTCAATGTATTGCCAAACATCCTAGGCATCGTATATACGACTTTTAGATTTAAAAAACATCACTTTGTCTTCTTCTGAGAGCTGGTGTTGCTCCTGCACATGTCACTGCAGAACCAATCTGCCTCTGGAGCATCAAGCAAACCAACACATTCAAAATGAAACTAGTATCCCAAACGGAACGGAATCAGCCACGGTGATAGAAGCACATCGAAACAAGACAGGTGCCCATTCATTACAGCTATCAAAGCTGCATTGGACCATTTCTCCGGACTCCGGCCCTCGACACCAGCAAAATTCATCTTGCAATGGGTCATCAGGCTGAGTGTCTGCATCCGAGTCTGGAATGACACGATTCTTCACTTGAACCGAGCTGAGGCGTGCTGCTGAGGGACGAATCTTGATGGTGAGACGAGGTTTTGGCGCAGAAGGTACGTCTTGACTATCACTCGCATCAGACAAACCTCGCAGACGTTTACCAAGTAATATGGCAGATGATGATTGAGCGAGAGATGTTTGTGCTGATTCAGAGTCAGCCACAGACTCAGTGGTGTAGTGATCCGTTGTCTGTTGTCTGTCCGGGTGCTCATTAGTCTACTCAATCCAGACACGACTCATTCATACTGAAACTCACTGTCGTAATGCCACTCTTGAACTGTGCTCTTCGGAAATGCGCAGCATCGATGTTGCTGTCATTTGCTTTCGTTTCCGAGCCTTCATTTTGAATTTTGTTGATATTTGTGTGCTCTCTTCGTCGTCAACTCTCCACAATTCTTCGAACCGTGCCTTATTCGCTGATGGGTGCAGGATATCGATGTGACGTGACAGCGAGTATTTCCAGACTGGAGCAGCATTACTGTCGCAATACGGGCAATGAAGCGGGGTGTTTGTACAAGGCGAGTGCTTTGTTGACTTGCGTGCATTCTTCAACTTGATCTTGAATAGATTTGGGCAGTGCGAGCGACTGATGTCGACAACTTCAGAACCTCCAGCGCCTCTCGCAAGCCGAATCTCGCATAACCCAATGCTGAGACACAAGCCACAGACATTGTGCTTGTCTCGTAAGTTCTGATCAAATAAAATATGACCCCCCATGTGCTCAATAAGTTTTGGGCCGAGTTCTTCAAATGCAACGGCTGGGCAGCGAAGGCAGCGATAACGCTTAGGCAATGTTCCACGAACTTCTCCGTCGACTTCACAAACAAAACATGCAGCGCCTAGTAAGAATGATGTCAGTCAAATTGAATTTCCGAGTCTGATGAGCCATTCTTACCATTAGCAGAGCGGTAAGGGAATGTTGAGGTCAGTGGAACATTAGGGATGCTTGAAACACCATTCTTGAGGCGTTAAAATAGCAGCAGGGCAAGTCCACGAAGGGTTTCAGTAGAGAAGTGGTATGTCGATGTGCCTCGGAGTGCTGAGAGACGAACATCGGCACTGACTGGTTCAACACACTGCCCATCAAGCTCTCGTGCTGTAGATGTACCTGGTAACTTCTCAAAACCACCTGTCCATTCCCAGTCATCGGAGTGGGTGTCAGCCTCCGGTGGAGCTGCATGATCTGCACACGGTCGTCAACGGGTATTCAAATATCCAACAATCGTCCTTCGTAGTCTTGCAATGGTATGTCAGCAAAGTGGCGTTGCTCTTGAGGTTGCAACTTGAACTCGTGCTAGGGATGCGCAAGGATCGCGGGCTCATTCATGGATGCATGGCCGCCCAACGGTATTGATGCCTTTTATCATCGCTCCCTTGGAAGAAAGCAACTTCAGTCTCCGAGCGTCGAAGCGTACAGTAATGGAGTGAGGCGAAGAGAGTTGGCGATCTCCACTGAGCTTGCAGTCTCTAGTGTCCACCGATTATGTCACATTCGACAAGCGACTACCTCGTCCGTTAGAATGGGAATTAGGTGGATGTGCTTCAGGTTGGATACGGACCTCTTCATTCCCAACCAGTGTTGAAGCAATAATTGAACATGGGTTACAACTTACAAGGTTGCCGCCACCCTGCGCACGCCAGCCAGACTTCGCTAAAGCTGAACGTTACGAATGCATTTCAAGTTCCAAGAACGCGTCCATAAGGCATTTGTATTTGTTGACACTATTGGCACTATTTGAAACAACGCTGGCTATACCATCATGATTAAATCGATTATGTGTTGGTGAAGCTGTCACAGTTGCCGGAAGTCTATGAGTCGTCCGTGAATGAGTGTCCGAATATTGGTATCATCTTCCAGTAATATTTGGTGAGGCTTGAATGGGCGGCCGAAAGTATCGCAGTCTGATGTGCTAAACTTGAGCGCTGAGCGCTTCAAGAAGCTTGATCCCGAGGTTCGGTCATGCTACTTCTAATTTGATGCCACATTCTTCACGGTAATCACAAACTAGATCCAAAGTTTAAGTTGAGATGAGACATCTTCCGTAAAACATTTACATCCTGCTTCAATCCATTTGAAAGAGACCGAGCGTGGTCAGAGGACAACAGATGGGCCGTGCGCATGAGTTTTGGTCGAGTATTTTATCTATTAATAGCTAGTACTCTAATCCTCTTCCACTTGGTTTCTGTTTAACCTATTTATAGGCATACAGATATTGATGCCATACCACCATTGCTAAAGTACTTAGAAGTTAGAATGACGATCATGTCATAGTACTACTCAGACTATGTAGGCCTGCAACGCTGTCAGACACAATTACACAATAGTGCACATAGTAAGAGAAGCCGCCTGGCCATCATGCATCATGTCTAACTCGCAAAATTGACAAACTGCTACCAATTTGTTCTAGGGTTTCGTACTTCAACTAGAATATAATACCGCCAGGGTAAACAGAGCTAGTAAGTACGTCGGAAGCAACATAGACAACAGATACTTAAACTGAAGTCATGGGATAGAAGATAGATAGAACGGGATGTCTTGTCAAAAGACTCCCTATTTAATGCTGCTGTTCTCTCCTGTGTCTGAGGAGAGCATCTCCGCGCGAGAATACTTTGCCGCACCCGCACACGTGCACAATCTTCAGATGTTTTTGCTCGATATGTCTCGTGAGCCTATCCTTGTTGACCTCCATATTACAAGAGTTCCATTGGCAGAAAACGCTGGCATTGTCTGACTCTGGCCCGTAAAGTTCATGTCTCTCACGTAAATGACGAGAGAGATTGTAGCCGTAAAAGAGGTCGTTGCAATGCAATCCTGGTGCGTAACAATCCCAGAAACACTGAAACGTCTCATTGATTAAATGTCCCTGCAATCGTGGATTTAATCGCAATGATATCATGTAAGATTTTACAACTCACAGGTTCCGAGTCAGATACTCCGTTGGTCTGGTAGTGTTGAGAGCCCCCCGACATGATAGTAATGACTCGGCGATTGTGATAGTTATGCTTGCAGACTAGAGTATCTGAGGGAGCGGTGAAAGATTGCGAAGCCCGCTGTAGTATATAAGTGTTCTGGACGACCTGCCAGGAGGGCCATCGTTCCAGCTGTCCCAATATCAGTTGGTGAGGACTCTGGCCTCGTGAGCTGTCAAGGTGCCAGGGCTTGGACGGTGAAATTTTCGTTGGTTGGCAAACAGAACCATGTCCATCGAATATGAGTCAGTTGCCAGTGGCCTTGGCCTTCAACAAAGCGTGCCGTCCATGACATCGAGTATCAATATCCCCTGCCGAGTACACGTGCAGAACAACAAAACCATCTGTCAAAGGTGTGACTGAGTCAAGAGGACGATGGCCAAACGTGCCAATATGGTCAGAATTGGATACGTAGCTTCTATGACGACCTCCACCCGGTCAAGGGCCAGCTGCGGAACCAAAACACACCCGGAAGCCAAAGGACACCAGCTTGAGATGAAGTTCAAGAGTCAAATGCAATGCAACGTTAACTGATCCAGGGCGTGGTAAAATTGACGTCCAATGGTAATACTACAGCTTCCATGCAACGGCATTTTCTGTTCTTGAGGTGTACGACTCGTTTCGAAATCCTTGCTTGGCCATCAGGACAATTAAAAAAAAGTATCAACGGGACTCTGTATAGTCCGGAACGTTCAGCTCAAGTGTTATCGGAAAGAAAGACACACTCTGAATCTCTTCTCAAGAAGAACTAGCATTTGAAAGAGGACAAGTAACGAGTCCATCTTCAGCTCAACACCGGTCGTCGACGGGCATTCAAATATTCATCCACCGTCCTTCGTAGCCTTGCAATGGCATGTCAGCAAAGTGGCGTTGCTCTCGATCGACCTTGAAGTTGCAACTTGAACTCGTGTTGGGAATGCGCAAGGATCGCGCGACGGGCGCTCATTCATGGATGCATAGCCGCCCAACGGTGTTAATGCCTTTTATCATCGCTCCCTTGGAAGAAAGCAACTTCAGTCTCCGAGCGTCGAATCATACAGTAATGGAGTGAGGCGAAGAGAGTTGGCGATCTCCACTGAGCTTGCAGTCTCTACTGAGTGTCCACCGATTATGTCACATTCGACAAGCGACTACCTCGTCCGTCAGAATGGGAATTAGGTGGATGTGCCTCGTTGGATACGGACCTCTTCATTCCCAAACCAGTGTTGAAGCAATAATTGAACATGGGCCACAAGGTTGCCGCCACCCCGGTGCGCGCGCCAGCTAGACTTTCGTTATAGCTGGACGTTAGTCACGTTACGAATGCATCCAAGTGCAAGAACGCGTCCATAAGGCATTTGTATTTGTTGACACTGTTTGAAACAACGCTGGCTATACCATTATGTGTTGGTGAAGCTTTCACGGTTGCCAGATTGCCTCCATGATATGATCGATGCAAGTGAGGCAACAAGAGAGAGTGGCACATGTGAGTACTTGAGTTCCAGAACGGCGTAGTGCTTATTACTTGCAGAGCAGTACTATTTGTTCAGATCTGGTTTCTGCGTTGTGCCAGTGGGAAAGTAGTAGTTCGCATTCACTTGGGATCCGAGCAAGTGGATAGGTGTCCGTACTGAGTAAAATAATCCAGAATGAAATTTCGAGGCTTATGTAAAAACATACGATATGTCTTCGTCTTGTAACTTGAATAAACGACAGATCCTCGACCAATCTCCTACACTCGGCAAGAATTTCCCTACACAGTACTGCTAGTTGGTACATGCACACTGTTTCACCGGTCGTCCACAAATTGTCTTTATTATTGGTCTTTCGAACGGTCCAAATGGGAGACATCACGATTCACGGCACTCTCTATTGTTCCTACAAGATATCTTTGGATACATCCCCATCTTCCCCGTTTTCCACCTTCATTACCACGTCTGCATGCAGACCCGAGATTGCCTTCTCTGACCACCAAATTCAGAATCACCACTCTCATGACCTGGTCAGCGGCCGCTTTATCGTGATCATGCTGGCAGAATTATGACAAGATTCTCGCCTGTCCATGTCACTTATTCCTCCTAGACCTTTGTATTCAAACCCACGCTAGTTCAGGAGAAGGGTGAGTCATTACTACTTCAACCTTCCATGCCCCTCGCTTTCCATTCATTTGGTTTAGATTATTGATAACACCACGGTTCTTGTTGAGTTATGATATTATCAACCATCTAGCCTTTGATAATAAATGCGCTTCTACTTATGTTTCTTTGTGTTCAGACTCGTGATTCACAGCATTTCGCGGCCCTGTACAGTTTCTGCTCCATCAGTGGCCCTTAAAAGTTGCATATCCAACCTCGCGCTCGAGACTGATCGTCGATGTCTGTTTTTAATTCTACGTCACTCGTAGGTGCTATATTTACCGTCATCAAAATATGTATGTCTCCTACTATGATGCTTATCCAAAGGGTCTTGACGTAGGGATGTTTCAGTATATGTGGTTGCCCCATGCCATCACAAGGAAGCAACAGGAGTTGAAAGAGATGCTGGACGAGTTGGATGGCCAATTATTTCCTTAAATATTTGGCATTTGATGATGAAACAATCACGCACCATGTTTGTCCTTACTAGTTGCTCCAACTTTTGAATGCATACCTATCTTCCTCGCTCACTATCTCCGGTTCAATACGATTGCCCTCTGACCAATAAATTTCCAATCGCCACTCTGTCGTCCTGGTCAGCGGTCGCCGTATCATGACCACGATGGTAGTGTTTATCGCAAGATCCTCGCCTATCCACGTCACTTATTCCTCCTTCCTCTTTGTGTTCAAAAATATGGAGAGAGTCGACATGCTGCAAAACCCTTGTGCCATCAGCTCTCTGAGCTCAGACGCTACTTCTACTTTCCCCTCATTTTCTATTCCTTCGGTCCAGATTGTGGACACAAGTATGAATCTCGATCGGTACTTACTCTGACAGTCATTGTAGCTCCGAGAAATCACTCTAAGGATGCAAATTCAACGCACAATTCACAGTCGCATGGGCGGAATGCTACGATGGCGTGACTCTGATCAACGTGTTTATGCATGTCATGCTCATTTGTGATACAGGCATACATTCAAGTCATGACTCGGAATCCGGGTGATTTATTCCTTTTCCTTCTCCATGGCCAAGATGGATGTGAATGCCAATGAGTTATCAGCCATCTGGGCTTATCGCGGTCACTTCCTCATCATAAGTGTGATCAGATAGCAGAACTTCGCAAATACATAGAATCAGTCGTCTGGGTATCGAGGACTGGGTTGGTTGCTAGACGTAATACAATATGTCTACATAAAGTTCGTCTTAAATATACTTTGAAATGCCATAACTTATTGAATATCATGATCCTCAACCAAATATCTCCCTGCAGAACACTCGGCAAGCATTCCCCTACACGGAACTGCTAGTTGGTACATATACACGCTCCTGAAAGACAATCGAATTCATGCTAGTTTCTGCGTCGGATTCGGCCACGAGTTTGGCGTGATATTTTCGAACACCAAGGATGAGGCGTGGTCCCAGCACAAACCGATGCACGCCAGATAAAATCTGACAAGCACCACTGACTATATTATATGCCATAGAATTTGGATGCTACAGAAAAAAAATGATGAGGAGTGGTCAGAAGCAGATGTCGGCGACAGGTCGGCGCACCTCGAGCTCTAGAGAGTGTATAACAAACTGCATGCAAGAGACACCAGCAAAGCTACATCACGGAATTGGTGAGATGATGTTTTTCCTAGATTGATTTGGTAAGATCGTATCAAATTTCCACAGGATTATATCCAAAAGTAGAGCTAGACAAAATGATACATAAGGCTCTTGAAATTTGTTGAAGCTTGAGGCCGAGGTAGAAGTCCGAGCCACTTGAAGTAGATTTTGTACAAATTTCCAGTGCTCTATATCAAACTCAATTTCCAATTTCCGATCGTAATTTGCCAATGACTTGTTTGCCAATCTGATGGAAGCCTGTACACACTGTGGCTTCAACTGGCGTGTTGCAGGTTTATTGTCTCCCGTGTGTAATTTCCCTTTTGATTTTGGGATGGTGTCCGTATAACTTGAAGTATTCAACAGATATCAAGGATGCATGCGGCAGTGCAACAATACATCCCCATCACATCAAGTACACGATGCATCGAACATAGTGCTTTGTGGCATCGGATTCGCTCTATGCTTGTCATCTCTTTGTTCATCGTTTTGATATAATCATGATAGCCCAATGATTCGAGCGTATCAGGCGGCGGACAAGGTGAGATATACTTGATTCACTCTGCGTCACGGTTTCTTATCTGAGTTCTCTGACGTTAGTAGTATATATGCCGCAGAATTCCATAAGAGTATTAATCAGATCCGGGCTGTTACGCCTCGGGCTCAGCCAGCGATGCCGAAGAGTGAGTACATACGTGTTTCACGCATATCACACCTTGACCTGTATTAGATGGATGACTACATGGTTTCATAGGGAACTCCTCAATTTTTACAAACTCGCAGCGAAAACACCACAAAAATCGCGTTGGAAATAAGTTGACAACATTACCAACGACTGGAACTTTCCTGGTGTTGAAGTAGTCCCGTGCGTAATAGTGATCACAGTCCCATATCAGGACAAAAGCAACAGAATACAATGAACTTGTGACAGAGGCAACGCTGGTCTCTCATGACTGTGCTATACCTGCTTGTTCGTACCTCATGTTATACTATGGCATGATTGACAGTCGTGCTGACCCGAAATTGTTCCAGATACGCTATGTTGGACTACCATATTCTGTGTATGTGTCGAGATCGATAAATTTGCACTGTGCTAATGACTCATCTCTGACAACTAGTGTCTATCTTCTGCGTATGTCTCATATGCGCTGTGTTCCATTTTTCTGACTGGCGAGACACAGCAACTATACCAGTATCGCTGACAGATGCAGTAAGTATTTTGCAACCATTTCATTCCCATCCAATCAATACACTCATATGTAGGGGTGAGTGAGATTCCAACCATTGAACTTGGCTCAACATAATGACTCAATAGGTGTGAGTTGGAGTCTTTGATACTAGTGCGAGGGTGTTCACTGATTGGGAGTTTTAGGCACTATTACGAACCACGCACTGAGTGGGACAAATGTGGTCGTAGCTGCAATATCTCTGTGACATCGACTCGACTGAAACCTGATGCAAGTCATCATGATTGATCGCTTACATGCCATGTATCAGCGATCTAGAATGATGCTCACCTTCCTTGTTATTATCTTTCTGACGGTCAACATCGCCTGCGGAGTAATCGTGGCAATGGGACTCAAGTATGTTGTAGGAGGTAGGTTTTACTTGTTGACCTGAGAACACAGCTCATTGGCCAAACACCAGAGGAGATGATACTCTCTGGCACATATTTGTGCGATTATGGAATCGAAGGGGGCTCACCGCTTCTTATTTCAATGGTTTGGACGCTCAACACTATTTGGGAGGTCCTCGCACTATGTCTTTCAGTCTGGGTTGCTGTGAAACACTTCCGTGAGCGACGACTCGGCCCATCGACAGGATCGACAGGATCGACCACCGGGGACTGTTTCAGAGTGCTGATACAATCTCATGTTCTTTATTTTGCAAGGTGAGCTTGTGATGTGAGCGCGGTTATATTTGTTGCTCAATTTCCGCACATGTTAGCTTTGTCAGTGTCTCTTGCCTCCAGCTTGCTAATGTCTCGCCATCAATCGCGGTGCGCCGACCTGTTGCTGACATCTGCGTGTAACCACTGCTCATCATTTCTGTAGAATTCAATTTCTACTGGATCTCAGATACTCTATGCTGCTCTTTTGGTTTTAGCGGTCGTGCAGATGTTTGTGCTAGGACCACGCCTCATTCTTAGCATTCGAGAATACCACGCCAAACTCGTGGAATACTCTGACGCAGAAATTAGCATGAATACAATTGTTTTCCAAGAGGTACATGTATCCACTAACAGTACTGTGTAGAGAAATGCTTGCCGTGTGGTCTGCAGGGAGGAGAAATTTGGTGGAGGATCCGTCGTGGTATTCATTTAACATATGGTGTTTTGAAGTATATTTGAAAGGTCTAGGCAAAATCTATTTCTTGTTGTATCACTACTGGAACAAAGTACCCGTGCTTGAACCAAGTTGTAAGCTGAGACTAAGCTTGCCACACCCATTCGTTGGTGACAGGGCATATACTCGCACTGTAAGTCTCTTTTGTAAATTGTCATGCTCAATATCGTTGAATGATGCTTGCACAGTACCTCCTTCCACCCTTCACGCACGATTTTTTACTACTTCTCTGTTGCCCAGATGGATGATATGGGGTGCAAACCCGACGCACGGTTTGCAGTTGCATGGTGCGGCACTACGATGGTACAACTCTGATAGTGTAGTGATGCCTCGTCAATAGTTTGACGGGTGTACTCGAAGCCTTCTGAATCGAAGCTCCCGTTCTCTAACCATCTGCTCCCCACTCAGTACACTTCATCTTCTCCCCATGCTTTTCAGCTTCACGCTTAGTGCAACTTGACACTTCAAGGGTGCGCGGGCAGTTCACTGACTCTGACTTCTAGTCGTGATATAACGAGAAATATCTACATAAACGCGGTCTTTAATACACTGACTCAGAGACACCATAACTAAAATAAATACTACGACAAATCCTCAACCATTTTCTCCTCCATGCCGAACACTTGGCAAGCATGTCCCTACACAGTACTGCTAGTTGATACATGTACACGCTCCTGGAAGGCAATCGGATCCATACTAGTTTCAGCGTCAGATTCGGCCACGAATTTAGCGTGATATTGTCGTATGCTAAGGATCAGGCGTGGTCCCAGCACAAACGCCTGCACGCCAAATAAAACCTGAAGAACACCACCGAGTGTCAAAATTTCCATGTAACTCGAAGTCTACAGAGATGATGAGCAGTGGCTACACGCAGACGTCAGCGAAGGGTCGGCGCACCTCCATCTCTGAAGCGCCAGTGATAAAGGCGAGGCAAGAGGCATTGGCAAGGAAGCTAGCACGTGCGGAACTTGAGCAGATCATCATAAGCACATTCACACTACAAGCTCACCATGCAAAATAATGCACATGAGATCTTATCAACACTCTGAAACAGTCCCTAATGGTCGATCCTGTCGATGAGCCGAGTCGTCGCAGGTCACGGAAATGTTTCACAACAATCCAGACCGAAAGACACAGTGCGAGGAGCTCCCAAACAGCGTTGATAATCCAAATCATTAAAAACGAAAGTTTGCCATCTCCCTCAAATGAAAAAAGGCACATATACGTGCCAGAGAGTATCAGTTCCTCTAGCGTTCATACAATGAGCTAGCTTCTTCAAGTCAACAAGTCAAGCTTACGCGCTACAAGATGTCTGAGTGCTATTGCCGCATTGACTCCATAGGCGATATTGGCGGCCAGGAATATAATAACAAGGGTGATCAGTATCATTCTAGATCCCTGATACATAGCATGCAGCCGAGCAATCATGATGACTTGCACCGTGTTTCGATCGAGTTAATATCACATATCACTGAGGTATTGCAGCCGGGAAACTCACCGCCCACCATGGCAGCTACGACCACACATGTCACATTCAGTGCGTAGTCCATAATATAGCCTGAAACACCCAATTAGTGACCACCCTCGTACTATGATCAAACACTCCGACTTACACCTATCGAGTCGTTATGGTGGGCCAAGTTGAATGGTCAGAATCTCACTCACCCCTACAAATGAATGTATTCATTGGATGAGAATGAGATGCAAGCTGCAGAATACTCACTGCATCTGTCAGTGAGACAAATGGTATATTCACTGTGCGCCGCCGGTCAGAAGAATCAAACACGGTGCATATGAAACATACTGAGAACATTGATACTGAGAAACGGATTATTAGTACAGCATCAAAATTTTGACCCCCAAAACATACATAGAATATGGCAATCCAATATAGCGTATCTAAAGCATTTTGGAGTCAGCACAGTCATCAACCACGCCACAGTATAACATGAGGTACGAACAACCAGGTAAAGCGCAGTCATGAGAGACCACCGTTGCTTCTGGTACAAATCCATTGTCTTCTGTTGCTTTTCTCTTGATATGGTGTCACTCACCCAGATAAGTTCGATCTATGACACCATTCTTAGCGAGTTGACTGCTCCGGGATAACATCGACATACCTCTTGTCCGACTGTTAGTGCTGGAAATATCATGAGAATATCAACGGTTTTCGAACACTGCCTTGCTCACCCCAATCGTATACCACCACGACGCCTGCGGCAACTGCAAAGCCGCAAGTCGATGTTAGAAGATCGAGACATCACCGACTGATAAAAACAAACCCGTCCAATAGCTGAAAACAATATCCATGATTATTGGCCACCAACTGGGATCATTTAGACTTCGGTCACGGCAGTATGTTCGTGCTAGATATACCACCGTTCAGCGCTTGTATCGCCAAAATTAGCATGATGCCATGGTGACACCATGCCGCATGCACTAGTACTGGCATCCTTGGTATCTGTGTAGTTCCTAACTGGGTGAAGTAAGTATTGCGATACGAAATATAGCAAAAGTTGAAGTCGTCAATTCAATCAAAAGTATATTCTTACCAATAAGCAATAGAGGACATTGATACTCCGAAATCGAACATTTCCACACAATGTTCGTTGATCAATGTTAACGTTCATATCTTCCAATATGCAGAAATTTACTTTCGCCATGTTCCATTATGTGACTAGAGCCTTTTAGAAGCTTTTAGAGCATATTTTTTGCAATGTCGATAGCAACGCGGCCCGCGCCTTCATTTTTACTCACATGGTAATCATTCCTTGCTAGCCTCAATGAGTTTACTTGGGATGATGGTCCCATATATAGTGTCGTCTTCACTGCCACGCTTCGCGCTCATCGTTCATACGTGCCTCGAGACCGTATCTGGACTACCAAAACAAGGTAAGCATCTTCCTTGAACTTTTCTGATCTAGGATATGCTCTGGCTCCCTGCGACTCGGTACCTTCCACTCACTTGCATCACGAATCATTGCCATTAATTCACTGCTCTTTCTCTCTACCTCATCGTACCCCATCCATTATACACCTCACACTTTATTCGTTTCCACAAACATAATTTTCCTCATTCGCTCGAGTCCAGTCCAGATGCCACTGTAGTTGTGTCCTGCGAACCAGAGCCGCTGTGTTATCAGTTATCTGGGCTTCTACTCATCACGGTCACTTTTCCACCTGTTATGCTCAGATAGACGATGTGGATTTGATGATTGTGAAATCCTTGGGACTGTCAGCCGTCTGAGCTCAGACACTCTACTTTTACTCTCCTGGACCACAGGATTTTGCATCGCATCCCATATGTTCTGCCCAGGTGAATGGTGAAGGTCGCTAGACATTCTCGCTGATCTGACGCATTATCACTCATCTGGGGTTTCATGACTCTATCTCGCTTCTTCTTTTGCTTTGCTCAGGCACCACATGATAGAGCCATTGCGATCTGATCAAAGTATGTATTTCAGAATATCGTGGTTGGCGGCTTACTGATACTTTCGCAGGTCGGCTTAATGCCTCCCGACTTGAAGCTCTCGTCTCCTTGGCATGCGCATTTATTTGTGACAGAGGTATATACTCACCCCATAATTTAATTGTCGTGCTCAATATCGTTGGATCATACTTGAGTTGCACCGCAGGGTGCGTGTAATCTGACCATCAGCCAACGCATTCCTCGATTGGTATCACGTCTGACCATAGTACAAAAACATCCATGTGTGTCCATTTAGTACACACTTGGACTTTGTCCCCCATTCGGCCAAAATCAAACATCCAAGCTTCGTATTCAAGCCTTCCCCAAAGATAACTTCCCACCATCGATACCTGAAGTCATCGATCCATCATCACGTTGATTCGTTCCACAAACCGGTCACACCGTTTCGTTTGTGCTTATTGGTTGTTCCAACTTCGAGTGCATGCCTATCTTCCCCATTCTCTACCTTCAATCCACTACGATTGCCCTATCTGACCATAAGATTTCCAACGCTGTATCATGGCCACGATGGTAGTGTTTATCATAAGATCATCGCCTGCCCACGTCTTTTATTCCTCCTTCCTCTTTGTGTTAGAACAAACACAAATTCAGGAGAAGGCGAGAATCGATTTTCCGCAGAACCCTTGCGCTATCAGCTGTCTGAGCCTAGACACGCTACTTATACTTTATATTCATTCAGTCCAGATGGTGGATGTGTATCTCGATCGGTACTTTACTGGTAGCCCCAATAGATCATTGCAAGGATGCAAGCCTGACACGTAATTTGCAGTCGCATGGACGGAACGCTACGATAGCGCGACTGAATTTGTGCACACAATTTCAGAATATCGTGGTCGATGTCTAATCATTAATTATACAGGTTCACTTGAGTCCTTCCAGCTTGAAGCTCCGATTCTCTAATTTCCACTCCACACTCAGCAGCTCATCTCCTTGCCATGCTCATTTGTGATAGAGGCATACAGTCAAGCCATGAATCCGCGTGATTCATTCCTTGTCTGTCTCTATGGCCTAGATGAATGAAAGCACATCTGAGCACCAATGTTTTATCAGTCATCTGGGCTTTACGCATCGCAGTCGCTTCCTTATCATCCATGTACTCAGACAACGAAACTTTGCAAATACGATATGGGCATCAAGGACTGGGTATATCAAAATGCGGGCGCCACAATACCACTCGTGACTCATCCAAATTGTCTTTGCATTGATCCGGCCTGCATCGGAAATCCATATAAGCATCGCACAGTAGTATACGTCCCATTAGCTGGCATACTAATATCCCGCAGCTTTTTCCGACCTGATAGCAATCTGCGCCTTGGGACCGGATTTAGAGCCATTTCGAGCGCAACGTCGACAGCCTGCGCCCTCTCACAATTACAATCGGGCTCCGACCCAGCTTGCGCAAATCAAGTTTACTTGGGACGATAGCCCCATAGCATCATCTTCACTGCCACGCTTTGCGTTCATCTTTCACACACTGTATCTAGACCATCAACACAAGGTAAGCATATCCCGTGAACTTTCCTGATATAGGATATGCTTTGACTTCCCCGCGACCCAGTACTTCGGACAGCCCAGATGAGTAATATGGTGATGACCGGGAAGCAGACTCGTTGCCTTCAGCCATCTACTAGGCTTCCATTCACATCACGAACTATTGCTAATAATTCACTTCTTTCTCTCCAACTCATCGCACCTCATCCGTTATAGCTTTTCACAAGCATGATCCTTCCCATTTGCCCGAGTCCAGTCCAGATGACAGATGTCACGGTAGCCTGTAGTTGCGTCCTGCAAACCAGAGCTGCTGTGCCATCAGCCATTTGGCCTTCTACTCAACACGGTCACTTCTCCTTTTTTCATCAAACTCAGATAGATGATAGATTGTATTTGATGAACGTGAAATTTTTGGGCTATCAGTCGTCTGAGCTCGCTGAGACACACCACGTCTCTACTGCTCGTGGGACGCTGTCCTGCCGCGCTGCCGGCGCCAGGAGAGTCTGAATGCTGGCTTGATCAACAAGTCTACGCTCGACTTGGTTGGTGAACACACGCTTAGGAAGATCGGTTCAAGCTCTTTCATGCTGGTCATAGAGTCACTGAATCGGAAGACCGCGGTACGCAGCCGTCCATGTTCGGCAGGTTTACACTTACGTCCGACCTTCCAGCTTAGTTCGAAGATGGGTACTGGCTCATGGAGCGCCAGCTCACACCTACATGGATACGACCAAGATGACCTGTCCGAGCAAATTCCGCACCAAAACCTTGACCCTCTCAATGTTCGTTCTGAATTTGGTGGTGATTGATGTTAATCGTGGCGTGCTTCCATCGATCATTACATTATCAATTATCCAACTAGAAAAATGAAACATATATTATAGAGGCGGCTTTCTAAAAACACAATATTACTGTAATGCAATTACAATTTGTACTATTACCTTGTAGAACGGTACGGTAGCGAATGTAAATTCTTGAGTGGGTTAAGCACCTATAGAGAAAAAGATCAGCAAATTTTCAAATGAACACCGAGTCAAATGATAAGTCAGAGAACCGAGTTTCGACACGAGTCATCAAGTGATGACATTGAGACGGCACTTCCTAATTGCATTCGGTTACAGATCATCGTATAGTGTGAAAGAGATGATTTTAAACAGTGAAATCTTGGTTCACTCACCTCCATAATCGATAGCATTTAGGACCAGTAAAAAGTTGAAACGCACTTAAGGTTTTAATTCAAGCTCCGATCTAATAAAACAGGAAAAGCATTTGTCGCCTAACCGCTTTCTCACGACCACAGCCGAGCGTCTCAGGGGATAAGCTGTTAGCAACTGCTAACAAGAAACTCACCATTAACTAGCTAGAAAGACTACCGTTCATCAGTGGTAAGCTCTACGTCTTTTATCATCAAAGATTCATGCTTTATCATTAAAGATTCATTCTCTATTTTCTTACGTTTTTCTCATTTTTAACTACATTTTTGAGCCACCCAATAGACGATCTCCTACCGGTTTATCTTGGATAACTACTTTCTGGCGTGTTGAGTTATGTCGTATATTCGGCCTTTGTTGCAGGGATATCTCTTTGCAATCTTTCATCTTTAACTTATACTTCCTTTATGTCTCAACAGTGCTCACATATCCCCAGAAATTCTCCATGGAGAACACCATGGCGAACATGCCAGTCGAATCAGCTTCTGCCATTGTGCAGGGTACAATTTTTATCATTTCCGCATATTATTCTTTGCTAACCCTTGACATCCATGCAGCTGTAGACCCTAATGAGCCTCCCCCGAAGCGCAAACCTGGACGACCCAAAGGAAGTGGGAAGAAACAGCCTCCTGATCCCGCCATCATCAGCGAAAAGATCAAGCGTCCGGTAGGCCGCCCTCGTAAGGATGGTTTACCTGCCGGATCTGTCGGCGCTCGGAAAGCAAATCAGCAGCGACGATCGAGTGTAAAGCTGAGCGCGGATGCCCCACAGCTTCCGCCTGGTGTACCATTCCCTGGAGTACGTGTTCTAGTTTGTTCAAGGTTGCCGAAGCAATGATCGTTTGTCCCTAGGCATATTATCCACAGCACCCCGGCATCCCACCTCCATGGCAAGGATTCACCCCTCAAGCCCCACAAACGACACCTCCCATCACCAACGGCAATACAGTCCCGAACACTCAGCATCCTTCCATAGATCCCAACCTCAATCGTGATGAATGGGCGGAGCTTTCATGTACAAAGCCCAACGTGCTCATGCAGGCCCTCTTGGGAGCTATCGCTGCACCTAATCCCATCGCCAGCGGAGGACCTACTGTTGAAGAAGCTTTCAGGTCCCACCTTGCATCACTTATGCCATCTCAAAACCAAAACAAAGATGCACATCCCATTCCTTCTCTCTATTCAGTTCTTAGGACCTTATGGCTTCCTTCATCGCCATCTTATTTATCATTGATTGCGCCTCGGACAACTGCCCGAGTCACGCACTCCGAGCATCGATTCTTGTATTGGGATCCGTTACCTCTCGTTCTCGCTGGCATTCATTGCACCGTGTGCGGGAGCACTCTCCAAAACCGAGGCCGCATCCGTAGCGGCCCAGTCAAGGTTTACGACCTCGACAAACCCTTCTTCATCATCGGATGCGAGTACGCATGCAAAAGTGTATCGTGTATCGCTAGCACGACTCCTGAAGGACGCAAATTCGCCAGCACGGACGCGTCTGTTATGCAGGGACTTCCCGTGAGGCTAAGGGAAGAGTTTCCAGCGCGGTTGTTGCAGGGTGACGCCGATCTGGGCCCTGGAAACAATGTTTGGAATTGGCATGCTGTCGGTGTCTCCAAAACGCTTTGGAACATGGTGAAAGCCTGTCTCAAAGTTGGGATGCCGAAGGACAACATTCTCAATATCATCAACGCCGTCCAAAACCCGCCTCCTGACGAGAAAAGGGACCAAGATCAGGAATATGATGTTGATGATGGTGGTGTGGGTGCTGATATCTTTCGTCGAGAAATCGACAACAATAACCAAGTATGCATCTATCCGCATTCTGCCTCTTGTCTGCTAATAGCACAAGCAGGATGCTATAGGCGAGTTCAGCGATGCATGGAAAGCAGACTCTAGTGCTCCAGAACCTGGCCCATCAACCCAAATTCATCCCTCTATGCCTCAACCCTCGACATCTACTCTTGGTAGTGCTACACCTGACCATCCTACTCCATCAGTGTCCACGTCCGTACAGCCTCAGCCTCAACCTCAGGCACAGGCACAGGCTCCGCCGCAGGTACAACAATTTGCTTTCGGACAGCCAGGCCCGTATGTATCGTATGCCTATCCCGGGTACTCATATTACCCTCAGCACCCCCAAAGTCAAAGTGCTCCACCTCCACCAGTTTCTCAGCCGCACACGCCAAGTGAGCAAAATGGACTTAAACGAGCGTATGGTTATGGAGAGACGAGTGAAGTTGCGATCCTAGAGCCCTCGCAGAAGCGAACTCGACACTGCTGCAAGTGCGGTTCGCAGGATTGCAAGGGCAAGGGCGGACGCACGTTTTGTATGAATGCGTGTCAGGATTGTGGGAAGATAGACTGCAAGGGCCGGAACAGCAGACGTCCGGACAAGGTATGCTCGGAAGCGTGGAATTAGGTGTACGAGTGTGCTGGTATCGCGGGTTGTACGACGAGAAATACAATACGAAACCACTCCTTGCCTACTCTGGGAAACGTAATGTTTTGTATTACTCACATTACATGTTAGGTTCCATTGTGTTACTTTCTTCATCTGATGTTCTCTCTGTAGCCTCTACCCTCGCTTGAAATATATTATTATTGTTGTTCCGGAAAATCATCGGAGCTGGCATGGGAAGGTAGTTATGTCGGCTGATAAGTGAATATAAAGCGGACGGAAATTTACCCCTTTACGTAAACCAGTTATCATTTGGTCAGCTACAAGCATAGCCTTTGTGATTATCAGATTGCGATGGCAAACATTTGCGGACACGCTCACCGTGATGGAAGAAAGGAATAGTCTTTGAAAATTACTCGTCGCCATTGATGACGGTCGGAATATAGTACGTGAGGACGCCTCCTGCGTCAGCTATCTCGCCAATGTAGACGTACAAGATAGCACAGTGATTGTGACATAAACCTGTATGGATAAAAGCATTGGTGAGAGGGAACATGCAATTAGGAATACGTACACAAGATGGTGGTAGCGGATACAACATGGCTGTTTAAAAACTTGAGGAAGCTCCGGATGGAGACGAGCACGCAAAACATTTTGTCAGGGTCGGGCTTATTCAGTAGGATGTCTTCTGCATCGTCGTTTTCGTCGTTCTGGGCTATCTCATGTTTGGCTGAGGGGAGTCAGAAAAGATCTCTTCAGCAGAGTGGACCGCGTTGCTCACCCATTGATGGGTTACCGCATTTAACCCATTGTGTCTCGAGTTTCACGGTGTCGGTGTTGATAGATAATTGAAGGATGCCACTGTTGTTCGCACGCAGTGCAAGCACGTCTGAGAGTGGACGTAGCCTCTCCACTATGGTACGGATTTTCAGGAGAGGGGGGAGTAAGACATGAACCTGATGTGTATTAGCTTTCACGGTAAACAGAAATGAAACGAACACCTACCTCTGGGTCTGGGCACCGTGGTTCGTGGAGTTTATCACTCTCTGCTGGCCGCATCACGTCTATACGTACATCGTGCGCAACGCGGACTCTGCGTCCTGACCTAGACATCCCGTACATCTCGAAGCTTAACACGGCCTGCTCGTTTTTCTTAGCAAGCTTCATGACGACTTCATCAGCATCGTATGAAGGAATAATAGCAGCTGCTACAGAGGACGACGAGGCTGATGATGAAGACGATCGGAGAGCTGATAGCAGTGCTTCTGTAGACAGTGTCAGGGTTATTGCATTGTTTGCATTGGACTGAATTCGGTATGACGTGAACATGGTCTCGACCTTTACGACACTATCCATGAATATAAGATACGTGCGGTAGAAGACACTGAATTCAACTTACGACCAGACTTGAATTCCACCCTCGTTTGCATCATCGTTGCAAATGACGTGCATCTCGGTTTCGGTGAACTTCATGATACACTTTTTCTGTAATTTTTCCACCGCTTGTATAAGACCTAAAAATGATTCAAAAAACGAAACATATATAGTCCACATAATTACTGACGATAGAAAATTGGGGCATTCTCTATGGTAGCTCTGAAACGCATAATGGACGTTGGTGGCAGAACGCGACGCGTAAATTGGACACGGTCACATGGAGTGCTCTATATTAAGGATGTTCGGCAATCCCCGGGCGTAACCCCTCGAACCATAGTATTAATATCGTTTCGGATCCTTACTGGGGTTGTGGTAGAGGGCCGCCTTGGTCATCGATTCCTTTCGTCTTTCCATCATGTCGCGAGAAATAGTAAACATTCAAGTAAGTTCATAAGTATCCCTCCACGATCGTTCTGACTTCCTATCTCATCGATTTAGGTCGGGCAGGTGAATCATCGTGCATGCTCGTAGTCTGGGATCAGGGTTGTTATTCACGAAAAATAACATCATAGGCAGGAAACCAAGTAGGAGAGGCCTTTTGGAGGATGCTCTTAGCAGAGCATGGCCTCGACGATGCTGGGGTGAGCAGTTCCTTTGAAGCTAAGGACTTAGTCCACGTAGATATCAGCTGACATGACGGCGTCATACATTTAGATGTACAAAGGCAATGATCCTCAACAAATTGCACGAGTCCGTCATCATAAAATTACTCACCACCTACCTCTGATCTCTGTCGTTCATAGGCAGGCGTATACTTTACGCAAGTGGACTCTAGTGGACCTACCAAGTACGTCCCGCGAAGCGTTCAGGTGGATCTTGAATCTGGAGTCTGCAATCGCGTCAGTTTGATCGTATTTAGTTTTTATAGAAGGTTCTGACTTTTTATAGCTTCGCTCGGGGCCGCTGGGTCAGCTATTTCGTCCAGATACGTACTTCACTAGCGACTCAGGGGCTGGAAATAATTGGGCGAAAGGATGTAAGCCTCGTGTTTCTTTGTACTTCATGATCTGATGATATTTCGTAACAATGCTTAGATTACACCGAAGGTGCGGAGATATCGCTACTATCCGCTTCATGAAAGGCCTGACAAGTCAGGGGCCGAGTTGATTGACGGCATCTTGGACATTGTGCGAAGACAGTCCGAGGCTACAGAAGCATTGCAAGGATTCCAGATAATTCACTCACTTGGAGGTGGTACTGGCGCTGGTCTGGGTTCTTTGCTTCTGTCAAAACTGCGGGAGGTCTGCCCTGGTAACACTCCTGGTCTGCTTGTATACTGATCTATGAATAGGAATATCCCGATCGAATGCTTTCTACGTTTTCGGTTCTTCCTGCACCCAATGTCAGTGGCTGACATCTCCCAGGTGAGGTTGATGACTAATATTGACTTGCAGGTCTCCGAGACTGTTGTTGAAGTAAGATATAGCTTTCATTTCCTGCTTGATTTGTCTCTTATCATCGTCAGCCATACAATTCCCTTCTTTCTGTACATCAACTGGTCGATAATTGCGATCTTACTATTTGTATCGACAACGAGGCCTTGTGAGAATCTCCTGATCTGTTTAGCGAGCTAAACCCTGATGAAATCAGGTATGACATAGCCGTCCGCACTCTTAAAATCAAAAGTCCTGGATACAAAGATCTGAACCAAGTAAGCCTCACTACTTTTGTATCCGTGTGCCATTGTTCAATTTCTATTGCAGCTCATAGCCAAGGTCATGTGTGGTGTTAGCACAAGTCTGAGGTTTCCTGGTCAGCTCAACGGGTGAGCAATTCCTGATGCATCAGTGTTCAGTTCTTTAAGCAATGTCCTCAGTGATCTTCGAAAACTTGGGATGAATCTTGTTCCCTTCCCTCGGGTGAGTTGTGTAAAACACTTTTCTACTTTAAGTTTGTCTGACTCCATGTTTCAGCTACATTTTCTGATGCCGAGTTTTGCTCCATTCTACGATCCAAAAGCTCGGACTTTCCAGAGACTCTCTGTGCCTGAACTCACCTCATCGTGAGTACGATAATTGATGGTAGTCGATCTTCGCTCATTTTGTCGCAGATTGTTCGATAAAAAGAACCTTCTGGTTGCTTCGGATCCTCGATTTGGGTATGTCATATGACGTACAAGTATAAATGGCTCACTGATATTCGTAATCCTAGTCGGTACCTGACTGCTGCTTGTATCTTCCGAGGCAAGGTGTCGTCACATGAGGTACGTCCATTGTACATGTTTGTGAATGTGACATCTAATTCTTTTCCGTAGGCAGAGGTATGGTGTAGTTATCATGCAAAAGCACTACTAACGCTTGTGCAGAATTCGGTTATGCAACTGCAACGCAAGAATTCGAATCTCTTTGTGGAGTATGCAAAGGTTCTGGTCTGGCAGAAGCTTTACTCACACATTTCAGGTGGATCCCGGACAACGTGTCCGTTTCGCTTTGCTCTGTGCCCCCCGTGGGCCAACCTCAGGCAGCGGTAGCCCTTGCGAATTCAACATGTATGCAGGAACTCTTCAAGCGTAACCTTGACCAGTTTGCCCTTATGTTCAAGCGCCGTGCGTTTTTGCACTGGTACACTGGGGAGGGCATGGATGTGATGGAGTTCACAGAGGCCGAGAGTAACACTCAGGATCTAATGTGCGTATACATATACATCTATACCATCATACGTCACTGACTGTTGTATCTTCTAAATACAGATCGGAATATCAACAGGTAATATTACTTGTTTCTTGCGATAGACCAGCTGGTTGATTATGCATCCACAGTATCAGGAAGCTACAGTGGAAGAGGAAGAAGCTGACGTCGAGGGAGAGCAATAATACAGGCTGAACACCGCAACTTGGGTTATCTTTGTTTTCGTTGTCGTCCTATTTTCAGCATAGATCCACTTTTGCAGCCTATTTATATCTATGCGCCGAGATCCTATTCGGATCGGACTGTTTGAATTACGACTGCTTATGAGTCCTGATGCTTGTTTCTGCAGCTCTATCCATCGGAGCCCATTCGAGTGTCAAAGTTTGGTACGTTTTCAGTTATTGTAATCGTCAAAACAGTTGAGTGCTTGTGCTTCAGATGTTATTATTAGAACCGTGATATTCTAGCATGTTAACTGTACGCCTCTGAACACCGGTGATGTCGGAAGCCGCTCGCAACTAAGAAATGATATTATCAGACAGGTTATAAGAGTGAGATGGTGGCTTCACATCTATAATCGTAAGGTATTCTTTCAGCCATGGTTTCGACGACAAATTGGTCCGAGCGCTTTGCTGACCTCAAGCGCGAAATTGTGGCAGCGACTCCCGACTATGAAAGGCGCTTGACTCAGTCTTGGAACGATCTTCTCCAGGAACTCGATGAGCGCACGACAGAAATCGTCAACGAGGGCTCCAACGTCGGTCATCTCCGATTTCTCACTGATGAGGCGCTAATCGTTCCGTAGTACATCCCTCAAGTCCATTTTCAGTATCTAGACACGCTGGTCCCTGAGCAACTCGACGATATTCGATGTAAGGGTTCTATCGTCATCCATGGTGTTGTTGAGGAGGGTGAAGCTGTCGGGTGGAAGACTGCGTTGGAAGATTATCAAAGCTAACCCTCACGTCGAAGGTCGGCCTTTGGTCCATGATTGATGGCTTATTGTCTCACTCACGGCCAACCCTTGCAGGTTTTCCAGAGCAAGATAAGCGAGTCTTCTTCCTTTAGTTAGAAATAGTTCCTGGTCACCGAGTTGTTTATGGATATTGATTCCACTCGCCCGAGCACAAGTACAAGCACGCGCCAACCCTAACGTTCTCAAAGTTTGCACTTGGATCAATAACCTGTACCATGCAAAGACCGACAAGAAAATGGAAGGCGTCGACCTCGACGTTCCGTTGGTATATGCAGATTGGTTCAACTTCCGCATCCGTCGCCCTGGTGTCCAATGGAATGTTCACCACCCTCACGCCAATGGTGTGTTCGCCTTTCTTGCAAAAATCGGGTTTTGATACGCATTCTAGGTGGTTCCACAGAGCGCTGGGAGGATAGCAACTTCCGCAGGTATTTCGCAGACATATTAAGTGGCAACTGGCACCAGCACGACCCCTATGAACTTGAGGGCCGTCTTGATGCTCATGTATCCTTGAACAGAAAACCTGACAGGTATATTGTGACAGTGTTTTGAAAAAATCCAGCTTTATGACACGACTCACCCTTATTTCTCGTAGGCAACTGCGTTCCGAACCTTCCAGGATTTGGCTGGCTATGACGTCAGATCTTCCTTTCATCGGGCTTGAATATGAAGGTTGATATCGATTCCAGTGAAACCGGTCCTACCCAAGGTACCCTGAACGTATTCCCCGATGTGCCCTTGTCAAATGCATACACCATCCTCCGCCCATTCTTCCTCTCGACTGTTCCTCTCGACTCTGAGGGCATACTTGATCCAATGTTCGGTCTGTGTACAATGCCTTGTTATTTTCAGTATCCTCCTGAGTAGTAATTCTAGATATATCCACTCCTGAGCCTCGCGACGGCAACTGGGTTGACCAACAACCCACCCCTGACTTGCATCCTTATCTCAGGCTAGAAGATACAATTATCTCTGTTCCAAAATTCAACCCTGGGGACGGCAATGCGTGCGCCACGCACCCACTTTTATTCTCTATTCTCACTAATTATCCGTACAGGATGTCGTTCATTCCGTCGAGCAGGAGCACACCGGTTCATATGACTCTGCTGGTGAGTCTCATTCAATGAGCTTTGTGTAAATGTTCAGATCTGATCTGTCGATGTCCAGTCATGTACATCCCAGCTGTTCCGCAGACCCCTCAAAATACGGCCTATGTCAAGAGGCAGGCTGAGACCTTCCTCGCCGGTACTAACCCACCTGATTTCGCGAGCGACGGGACGGGCCTCCCGTACGTTAGACTTGGCGTTGATGCAGATATCATCCAGCCTATCAGCCGAATCGCGATGGGTCTCCCTGTTGCTGTCACATAATAAAATGATATACGCTCTATGCTGCAGCTGCCGTTCATTTCAATGCATACACGTGAACAGGTTGTTATCATCGATATGTATATCTACTTTATCATCTAACTTTGACGCGCGGGTTGTTCGATGGTGCTGGATAAACTAGCCAAATTAGTGGGATGTATACTCGCCCAGACACGCCGCCCTACCTAGACGGAAGGGAAGTATGGGTTCCAGCCTCCAACACTGCCCTGACGGAGTAGCAGGGGACTCTGAGGCATTGCTTCAAGTGGTGCGAAGCCCGTCAGGGGAGGGAACGTCCAGAGTGGTGACAACCCTTCGACCGGCGAAGGGAGCACAGACGAGGATTGGTTAACCTTTCTACTCAGACTCTCACACGCCATGATGCTGGGGGGCAGGTATTCCATAGGGGACGGTGTACCAGGAAGCTCTATGGGGCGAAGGTGAACCTTTGGTGGCTCATACAGATGGGAAGTCTGCGGTGGTAGGTTTGGTGGGCGATGCGGAAGTGAGTCTTTCAGATTGTGTCCAGAGGAGGACTTCATAGTTGGCATTGTGCATGCACGAGGGATGGGCCTCGAAAGATATACTGACGGTAGAGTCAGGCCAAGTCCAGCAGGCGGCTTCGATAGCGTCATAGTTGCGAGCTCATAATCCGGAATAGCGCGCGTGTTAGAAATAGTATCAAGACGAGCGAGCGAGCGTTTGTGAGTAGTATTTGAGTTAGGAGCGATGGCTTTGGTGGTCACACTGAACGGGTGGAGGATGGAAGCAGCTCGTTTGTGTTGTTTTGTGTCCACTCGTAAGAACTTGGGTCTTGCATTCTGAGAGCTTGAAGAAACTTTCATATTCGCCCCGCGAATATCACCATCCGACTCATATCCCACATCCTCCTCGACAATAGCAGGGTTTATGGGAGAACGGAACATTAAGTCCTTAGGAGTTGCGTCGCTGAGTGCGTGTGAGACCTGCCCACAGGCTTTGGATAGCCTTGCGGATGCGACAGCAATGAAACCCTTGGTCTTTTGGGACGATGTTTGCAGATTTGGAGAACCTGGGGGGCTGCTTGAAATCTCTGTAACGCTGGAAGCATGAGAACCGTGGTAGAAGAAGGATGAACTAGATCTCGAAGACGAAAGGGAGGTTGAGGAAAGGCTGTGCACCCGAGAAGGGCTTTCAGAAGTTGAAGGTGAGCTGGACATCATGGTTTCCTGTGGTAAATGTGGTTAGGTGACATTCGACCACGAAGGTGACTTTATTCATCATATCCTGGTCTGAATCAAAATATCTGGCAGAAAAAATTGCATCAGGGTTCCCTAACATCATATGTGGTAATAATACAATATATTGACAAGTACGAAGTTTCTACCATTTTGCGTAAGGCAAGAACTTGCCACTGTAATAGGAGATGACCACATAAGGACCTGAGCAGAAATATCGGACAACACAGGGCAACTCACTCAAAGGTCAAAACGACACGGTCACCCTTTGGGTCCGGCTTTTTGGTAACGTGAACTTTGCAGTCGATCATGGACATGATGCCGTCGCCGAACTGCAGAAACCAGGTTAACATGTTGGCGAGTTGAATTTCAAATTCCTCACCTTCTCATGAACGACAGCCTGATTTCGATCGCTTTATGAGATTGTGTCATGGATGATATCAAACACAACAGACCTTGATGGCATGACCATACACGAGGACACTCTCGTATAGACGATAGAGGACGGGATCGGTGGGGGGCATAGGTCCAAGGCCACCACGGTTAGGCCACCAGTGGGAACCAAGCTCACTCTGGACGTTAGCAATGGGAATGTCCAGGACATTGGCAACAGCTTCAAGCTCCTCAGGAGACATTTTGGCCTATGGGAACAGGTGAACGATTGTGACCAAATATTACTGTGCAGACGAACCTGTCCATAGAACGCTGCAGCTACCCAGATCTCATCTCTTCCGATTGCCTTAGAAATAGCTTCAAAGGACAACCCTATTGTGTGTTAGAGAATCCATAACTTGGTATCGCGCCCGCACCCATGCCTTACCTTTCTTTGCTTTAGCCTCGAAGAGTGCTGCCACAATCGGGGGCAGGTCGGCATAAGGCAGGTTGTTTGATGATACGGTCTTCCTAGCTATTTAGCCAAACTGTCGCAATAAAAAGTAAAACAAAGTTACTGACAGCAGCTTGCGACATTACGAGAGAGTGAGTTTGGGGAAAGATGATGAAAACCAAGTTGAATCTATATGCTAGTGAATCTCATTTCTCATTTATATCTACCCGTGCACGTGACTCCTCATTCATGATAGTGGGAATGACTGGGGGCCCCGTTGATGGCGAACTCACGGAAGCACAAGGCAGTACAATTGCAAAGGGATGAATTTTCTCATCTTGAGCCGGATTGGTCCGGAGGCCTCAGGCTAAAACTTCCCAGTTACTTCATTCGTAATCTTCCGCCCTCCGAGTCGTGTCAAAGGCGGAACAGCTGGGATTTTACGGAACTAAGCGGAGTGCAGTATGCACATGAAGGACGGGGTATGGATGACTGAAGGTATCACACCTTGGTTTCAAACTCGGCCTTGGCGAAACGCGTAGGACTTCACGGAACTTCGCGGAACGGTGTATGTAAAAGGGACAGGTTATGGCCGACGGACGATTTCATTTCTTGGTCTGAGATTCGACCGTGTCGGAGGGTACAGGGCTTCACGGAACAAAGCGGAGAGATATATGCACGACAGTCACTGAGGATGTTATTTCTTAGTCTCAGACTGGGCCTGTTCGCCATTCACTGGTTTCCATATCTCTTTAGTCGCGTGCATGAACTCATACAACTGTCCAAGTTGTTCTGCAGACATCTGAATACATGTTAATACCAGTAAACCAAAGCCACAGATGAGCAGAATCATAAAGACCTTTTCGTATACCGTGGGATCTAGTTTTTTGAAACTTCTCGAGTCTGAGGGATCTCGAGGTAGCTCATCCAAGTACATCTTCCACTGTGTCAGGAATCCCATGACGTGTACTGGATTGGTAATCTCTTTATGCCTTCTAAACTCTTTAAGAACGGCGTGAGCTGGTGGTGCGTCATTACCGTAGAACACATACCAGCTTTGACATAGTCATCACCCAATAAACGCATTTCAATTGGAAGCCTCCTGTGCGCCCTGAGTAATCTGCGATATAGGCTACAATACGAACGTAAGAATTGAGCTACTCGCCATCGCCAAAATATCGCCGACAGACGTACGGAATTGGCGGGTATAGCGCAACGCTCGCCTGGCGCAGGTCCAAACTCTTCGTGGTCACAGACTCTGCGAGGCGAACCAAAGTAGAGTACATTGTGTATTTGCCCTCGGTCTTTGGTTTCGTTGGTACTTCCTGGTAGTTCCGATTACCTCCAAAGTGATGAAAGACAGTTCTATGGAAAACCAGTAAGTTTTGAACCCCCAATGATTGGATAAAGGTGTGAGGAGTAACTACCAGCCTCAAATGTTGGTCACCTCTTGCCAGATGCTGATTATTGCGCTTACAGCTGATCGACGTCCAGGACCAGGTGGGCGAGCAAAGCATTCAGTTGCGTGCCCACTGAGTGATTTAGTTTGATCACGTGATTATTCAGGAAGGTCGTACTCTGCGGATTTCATGCACTACTAGTGATGGTATGTACTACATATACGAACTAAACCCCTTCGAGAACCTTGATTGAGCTCGGGACCGGCCTGGCCTATATAACCACTGACAAGTTGAGTGGCGTATTAACAATGCGGTTGTAGGCGTCCATTGTGAATTCTTGATGCTCTGTCGAGTCTCGATGACCATTTCGTGTCGCTGAAATTCTGGAAGCAGTTCTATAACTCGAAGTGAGATAAGCACTGCCAATGAACGTTCCTGCTTTTGTGATGGGCCCCTCTGGCAATGAGGATAGCCGATGTGCCGTGTCCTTCCTAGTTCTCAACGCGCCTTATGGTGAAGGCAAGAAGATATCCTCATGGTAAAACTTGCATATGCAATGGAGAATCTTAGATAAAATTGTCACTGCAAAGATTAGAGAGTAGAACTTACTAGTAATACGCCCAAGACTTATATTACACGTCTTCTCCAAACGAGAGCGGTCCTTTCCGTGTTTTCTTCGACTTTTTCTTCGATGCTTTCTTGGAGCCTTCGTCGCTGCCATCCAAATCTCCGACAACCTTTCGCTTGAGCTTGTTGGATTGTTGGACCTTCGCACCCGAAGAAGAAAACGATAGGGTGACAGCAGCCTCTTTTTGCTTCTTCTTTGAAGAATTCATGTCTGATTTCGCATCATCCTTGGTATCATTCTCCACTTTCATGTTGGGATCAGGAAGTGGTGGCAATCCTTTCTCTAAACGACCTTGTCAGAAAAAGCGATATGTTTGTAGGGTGAGACACACCCTTCCGCCTCTCATTCTCTGCTTCCCTCTCTGTGAGATGCTTGCCCTCTTTCAGCACAACTACCTGAGGTCTTTCATCAACGTCGTCTTCGTCTGCGCTTCCAGGATCATCGTCGGGTCGTTGGGGTATCGCAGCACGGACAGGTATCGGTGGACGTCCTGAACCGTCATCATAGTACTGTGGCTCATCCTCGTCTTCGTCTGTTATGCCTTGAATTTTATTCTGAAATTTTTGCAAGAACGCAGGAACATGGGATTGGTACTGTAAACGAGAGGAGAGCTGTTGTCGGGTGGGTTCCTTGGCAGACATAACACCTGATTTTACTTGCTTATGGGCGCTCTTGAGTCTTGACCGTGGTAGCACTTATTTGCGCGTATATGGGTATGTATGCATATGTGTGTTTTGCCCCTTGAGAATGATACGCGACTTTTAACGATCTCGAAGTCATAAACAGATGCTGGGACTCACAGGAACCTCCAGCCGTACCACGAGGCAATAGGATTTCTCAGGTGTATGTTCAATTGCAAAGTTCACCGCTAATATGTGCCTTTCCCTCGACTCTCTTGATGATGATACCCTCCTTGGCGTCTTTTCTGCACTGACAGTTCCAGATGTGCTCAACCTGAGACAAGTAAGCCTTTTTTTTTTAGATCAACCGAGGTTCTTGCTCACTCTTACCCGAAATTTTAGACATGTCGTAGACTGCTATTCTTCTCAAGTCAGCAGATTGTATGGCAGAATATTGGTTCTTCTCAGATATTGCAGCAGGGCATACCCTTCTCTAAGAAACCACTCTCGAGTTTCTCTGTTCGTGATCTAGAGGAGAGAGTACGCCGTGCCTACCATCTTGGGGAAGCTTGGAAAGCTCCTTCAATTACATTTCGCGCGTCTAGCTTCGCAGCGAGCAGGGGGGGCCCTATTCAAGACATCCACTTCATTCCTGGCTATGATCGGAGATGGCTCATCACAGTTTCCCAGGGTATCTGGTCGATGATCACACTCTGGGATCGCCGTAACTTGGCGCGAGTCACTTCCTGGTCCCCCGAAAAGGCTGTTTTCTCTAATCTAGCAGTGAACACGTCTGAAGACTGTGAAGCTACTCTCGCGGTGTCATTGCACAGATACGAGTCTGTATTGCCTTACTGACTATGCTCGTCAGTGCACTAAAGTATTCACAGCTCCGTTGTGGTTGAGATATTAGCTATCACGTCTACAGTGCCAGACTCTCCGCCGGGGTTTGAATGTGTTGCCCGACTCAACACGTTGCGTCAACCAATCGCTATGTGTGGGTCCTTAGTGGCCTTAGCTGACGATGAAGCCGAAACAATAATCTGGAACTGGAAAACGCAGGAGTACGCGGTCTTGCAAAGTCCCGTCGAAGCGGACCTTTGGAGGGTACGTCAGCCCGTTAATTCCCAACCTCGTTTTCATTATTATGAGATATGTAGAATAAATGCACTCAAATCGTCTTTGCATACAAGACCATCCTTGTTGTCAGAGCTCGTTCAGTTCATGCATTTGCAGAGCCAAAACTGGCATCACATCCCAACACATGTGTCCACCATCCTTATGCCCAGAGTACATTTGGCTGGGTGGACGGTATCTTTGTCTCTAATCCGCCATTTTCGCCTAAGGACCCCACAAGAATGGAGGGACAGCCTCTGTCAATTATCGTGCGTACGAAGAATGATGACCCGTGGTCATCCACGTTCAAGATTCAACTCTGGACTTTGAGTCCGATGACCTCGTCCCATCAAACTACTGTCGATGGGCCATACTACAATTTTCCTCCTTCTATGACTAAAGAAATCGTCACCCCACGTCGGGGTGCCTTACGATGCACCGACATGGTGCTCGGTCCGTATGGGACTGCAGTCTGGGTACAACCAGAAGACTCTTCAGTTGCGGGCCTAATCTCTTCAAACGTTCACCTGCAAAATATGCCTGTGCCACAGTCTCACGAAACACTCGTCGCCGCTGCCTTCCCTGGATTACTCAATACTCAAGGTGAACCGCAGGTCAAGTCATCGTGGAAGAATTATGGCAAGAATTGGACATGTCTTGATTACGACGAGGAAAGAGGCTGCGTCGTACTAGGCTCGGCTGCTGGTGCTGTCACTATCCTAGATATTTAAAATACAGTCCATGTCAGTGTCTGGCTCTAAATATTCGGGGATGCAACTGGCAATTTGTATGCTCCCGAGGGATACGCTAAATTTCTGTCATGCCAACTTTTAGCTCAAAATCTCTGGTAGTTGGAAACATGACGTTGGAAGCAGCAATGGTATAGACTCTCATATCATCCTGATTCCATGGAAGTACTTGATTTCCTTTGGAGGTTGTCATTCCTAGCCTCGGCGAGTCCTCGTTGGAATGAAAGGACTGCGTGGCCACGCATAAAATTACTCACTAATGTAAGCGCAGAAGGCTATTCGTGCACTTTCAAAATAAATAACCGACCTGTTGTTGTAAATTGGTATCAATGGATGCTGTGCACATCGTCTAATGCAGCAAAGCGACTTACTCGATATCAAAAATATAGCATAATGTCTCGCCACCAGAAGTGTCGTGAATGTTGATTTCTGTGTCAGGTGTGATCAGGTCTCGTTTATCTGTTGACATGCGAGGAAATCCACGGTCCCGTAAAAGTCTCCGAAGGTTTTATAAAGCTCCCATTGCAGTTAGTACAGTTTGCAATCGACATATCGTTGTGTTCATCTCTGGTAGTACCTTCAGTATGAAGTCGATCTCTACAAGTATGGCGCCGATGCCTGGAGTTCATTCCCTGGAAGGGTTCAGTATGATTGGCCCTGGGATGTATCTTCGGGATAACGGTGAGAAAGACCAGGGCTCGGACACTACGTCACCAAAGTGAGTCTGTCTGGTGTGTTGCTTAGCGAGACAACTCACAGGGTGTTTAATTAGCGTCATTTTGATGTTCGGATGGAGTATGTCATTACTCTTCTTGTTCCGGCTGAAGTCCTGGTCTAATGTGAGTTGCGTCTATAGTGGGTGCACAACTGAGGTACTTGCGGAATTATACCCATGCATATACCGAATTATATCCAAACGCGTCTCAAATCGTTGTTCGGTGCAACCCTGACGTAATATGGAGTAAAATCAGTACCATAGTGAGCACCTTAATACATCGATTGCTCACTGTTATGTTGTCGCCTCACACGATTAAAGCGACAGCGTCTCACGCCTGTTATTGATGCATTGGAGGCATTGCATTGTTTGCCATCTTCTAAATCCCCTGCACAAAGGCGTCCCCAAATACTAACCCACGTGTTTTCCGGTGGTGGGTTCGCCCAGACTGAAATTGGAACAAACTAAACCTTCACCAGGAGGCTGCCTGCAAATGACATATTTTGGTCACATGCTACAGCAGAAATATGGTTCTGTATCTGCCCAATGGTCACTCACGAGCGCATTGATCCTGGACTCATGCCCAACAATTGTCAACTTCAATACGATCAAACTCGCGTTCAGCGCTATGGTCCAGAACCCAATTATCAGACCCATCGTACTCACCTTCATATCCACGGTGTACTTCATCCGCTTCTGCCTATCTCTCCTGTTTGGTAAGCGAATGATGTTGATTTCAGACATCTACGCCGACATGCAGAATCCCCGCGTCCTGCCATGGATGGGCCTCCACACTCCCCGCCTCTACATTTTCTCGCGCAAGGATAGATCAAGTCCGTGGCAAGAGGTCGTGCACCATGCCAAGACAGTAAAGGAACTCGGAATGGATGTTCGGTGTGAGCAATTTGAAGAGAGCGACCATGTGACGCACATGCGGGTCGAGCCAGAGAGGTATTGGTCCTTGGTACAAGAGGTTTGGGTGATTGCAATCTCCAAGGAGAAAGACGAGCAGAGAATATCGCAAACTACGCCAGCTCAATGGCGTCGCAGCTTCCTTTAGCAGTAGCAGTAGTCTGCATTCATGGTTGCCTGCCACGTCCGTTTATTATGTATGACTTCCTATAGTTCAAACGCAGTGACCTGGGCCGCGAGATCATCTTTGGGAAATTCTTGCAAGTGTTCAGAGGGAAGGTTGGAATCCTTCGAGACTGAGCATCTTCCAGGGTCTCCGAGTATGAACCAGGGTAGCCGCCAGATCCGACAATACGTGCCATCATGATAGTATGAGTGCCACTTTGACTGGCATTGGATGTTGCTGTTTCAAGTTGATGCTCTCGTCCATGCTAGCGCGGCGGCGTTGATATGTTTCGTTCGGTCGACTGGCAATGGGCAGTGCTATGTAAATGTAAGTGATAGTAGTAGATATCATCAGCACCGTTTTTTCGACAATTAGTAATAATCAGCGAGGCTAATGACCTATAACTTTAAGAAATAACCAATATTACTGTAATATTGCAGTTCCACATATCTTAGCTGATCACAATAATAGCACCTCGTATAGGGAATCAAGAAAGAACATCGATATACCAAGCAAACCTAGGAAGACAATTGTAGCAGCTCTATGGTTGATCGATTGAAGGGGTGCTCTACACGGGCGCACTACAACAAGCGAGGCAGATCTTCCGACGTAAATCTATGTAAGTAGTCTCTGATCCTCAACTTTCCCCTTGGAGATCGCGGCTGCCCAAATATCCTGTACCGAAGCCCAATATCTCTCTGGCTCCACTCGAATGTGTGCTACATGTTCGCTCTCTTCAAACAGTTCGCAACGTGCATCCATCCCGCGCTCCTTCGCGATCTCCGCATGTCGTGTGACATCTTGCCACGGAATTAATTTATCTTTGCGCGAGAAAAGATACAGGCGGGGCGTGTGGAGGCCCATCCATGGCAGGACGTGAGGATTCCACATTTCGATCCGGAGGTTTTCCATAACCATTATTCGCTTACCCAATACTAGAGATAAGCCAAGGCCGACGAAGTGCATTGTGTATAACATAGTGAGTACGATGATCCTGAGAATTGGGTTCCGGATAACGGCGCTGAAAGCGAGTTTAATTGTTTTTAGGCTACCCGTTGCCGGACACGAGTCAAGGATCAACGTGCTCGTGATGAACTTTTGAATTAATGCAGAGCCGTATTTCCGTCGCAGCATGTGTCCAAGAAGTGTCATTTGCAGGGAGCCTCCTGGTGGTGCATACAATGATCAGCTTGTTCCGCATTCAGTCTGGGTGGACCTACCATTGGAAAACACGTGAGTGAGTATGCGGGGAGGTGGTTCGGCGGAAGAGGAAGATGGGAAACAATGCAGTGCTTCCAAGGCATCGATTACAGGCATGAGGCGCCGTTGCTTTTAATTGTATGAGCCAACAAAACATCAGTGAGGAATTGTAGGGTGCTCACTTTAGTGCCGGTTGTAGTCCAGAACACATTCGGATTGCACCGAACAACAATTTGAGATGCGTTTGGATATAATTTGGTATATGCCTGGGTATAATTCTGCAAATGCCTGAGTTGTGCTCCCACTACAGACGCAACACATTAGACGAGAATCTAGGCAAGAATGAGAAGAGCAATGGCCTACTCCATCCAAATATCAAAATGACGCTACAGAATGCCTCGTGACACGTCAGCTATTATGCTATCACGGACATTGACTCACTTTGGTAATGTAGTATCCTGGCATTGCTCACCAGTACTCCGGAGATATATCCCAGTGCCGATTGTACTGAACCCTTCCAGAGAGCGAACCCCAGGTTTCTGCGACTCGATCAGTGGTAGAGACATGGTGCCTGTACCCAAATTTTCTTCCATGAAACTACATAGTAACAGTGGCACGTGTGTTTACCCACGACTAACACAATTATATCCATCTGATTGGGCACTCGACATTGGAACTTGTAGTCGCAGTCGTAGGCAGTTCATGCTTAGTGCGAGATAGAATGACTCTCAAGTTGTAATATAGTCAGGTGGAGGGTTGAATGACCTTATTTACCAAGGGTCTAGGGACATCGGATAACGTCATGGTGTACTCCGATTCAAGTTCTCTTCGAAGCTACGATTTATGTAATGTGTCAAATTCAACTCTTACTCAGTACTCAGTCCCCAGTGGCTCCCACTTTTGACTGGCACTGACGACTCACGAGCGCCTGTTCTTTCATATCAATGTTGGGAGTGGTATATTGATGATTTCTCGAATCACAAGAGAGTCGTGGTGTGCACTAACGGCCACCTGGACTCGGAGGTGCCGTCTGATCCATACCCTTCCCATCCCACCCTCAACCGCTTCCCTATCCTGCACAGAAGATCAGGCACGTGCGAAGGTTTGGCTTCGCACATTCGAAGACGCCAAAACCGTCCCAAAAAATCTAGTCGAACTTACTTTCTCTCGCAGTTCTGGTCCCGGAGGACAGGTGCATTCATATTGCCCGTTTTTCGTGTGAGAGTGCGGTGTACTGAACCAATTGTGGTTAGAATGTCAATAAAGTAGAGACCAAGGTTTCTGCGCGCTGTCGTGTAGACGCACCTTGGATACCGATATGGGCGCACGAGAGTCTCGTCAAGACGGTGATTTGTGGAGCTTGACATGCAACCGTCGGACTGAAACCGTTTCATTCAAGCCATACTATGTCAAAACAACACATTCTTTACTGGTTTCATCTAGCGCGTCTCGTTCGCAAGCACGAAACATTGATGATTCTTTGAGCAAAGTTGGTTCAACTTGTCGATTCTGCATATCAAGCTAAACAAAACTTCTTTTCTCAAGATGCATGCCGTCGTGATGGATGCTGCAAAGGACTTCATTACCAGCGAACCCAGTGCAGAACAAAGACAAAGGGTTGCCAATCTAGAAAAGGCCCACGCCAATCGAAGGAGATTGGAGAAGGATAAACGCAGCGCCGTGAAGAAGATGAGGTCCAATAAGGGATGGAGCGAATAGTGTTGTTGTCCCTATTGAATGTACGCATTTCCCGGTAGCACGTTCCTACAACAGGGAATCAATTGAAATGTTTTTTACAGCGACGCTGGCTTTAGCCACTGCGATGCTAGTTGCTAAAAATCCTGGGTTACTCTGTTTGCACCAGTAAGGATGATTATTATGTTCCATTATAATAATGCTGAACGTCATGCATCAGATTGGCATCGAGCTGGCATCCATGAATATGGCACATTCATTCGCGTCTGTTGTCATTACTAGGTTTCCTTACCACTGGGTAGTAAGTAAATCCGACTCTTCACGGGCGCGCACTTAAGCTTCGCATCATTGTAGTATGGGGTCGGTCCGTTTCTCGGCTCTCTGCTGCTTTTTTTAAGTAGAGATTTGCAAATTGTAGAGTTTGATCAAACAGCAAGACTTCTCCTCTCGGAATAGAGTATAAGTACTAGTTAAATGATAACTTACACACGCAGGGCGTAAACAGCGTCTTCGATGTACAGATATATGGCGGTTTGTGATTTATTTTAAAGAAATTTTTGCAGAGATCCCCTGTAGCTGCCAAGCTTCAAGATTGATATCAACAAGGCATGCCCTAGCAGAAAATTGGAAGAAATGTTATGGTCGCTTCTTCTGTGGTAGCAGACTCCAGGAGTATCGTGGAGAAGCCTTGGACCATGTGCATCGTAACGGATGTCGGGTTGAAATGAGATAAGTCGAACTCACTAGCGTGTTCGGTGCTCCTTCTTAACATCTCCCCCCTGCACAAATTCGCAAAGAACATATTGGACTAATGCTTGTGACATTGAATGAATTGCAAAAGACTTTAGACCTGCTGCAGGTTGCAATTCTGTATACGACGGCGGGAGCAAGGAACCGCGAGAAACCTGGAAAATTTCAGATTTCATTTACGACCGCTGCCCACTGCTCGATCAGCGCTGCCAACGGAACCCTGAGCATCAGTAAGGCTCTTGCTAAGCTCTGAAGAAATTGCGAGCTAGATTGAGACTCATAAACTGGAGGTCTTTAAGTGATGTCTTGAGTGGAGATGCTAGTGACCACAGCTGGCTACGGCTGTGCTCCACGAGTTCGACTGCCTGTCGCAGATCGTCGCTACGTACGGCGCATGAGGCTGCATCTGCATCTAGTGATTGTGCACCACGAAAAGCGGTTGCAGCTTCACGGATCATATAATTGACACCATCTGCCCCTGGACAATGGTAATGGCTTGCAAGACAGTTGCGCGTATTCCTGGATATAGATGGTGATGCCTTCTTTACTGTGGCGTCAGGTCAGCGCTTCTGTGAGATGATAGATAGTGGATGATCGGGGTGACCCGGCGGACGCACGTTTGGAAGTCTACATGGGACTTTACGGAGTCACGGTCTCGCCCTACGCTACATATTTGTCTGATGATAGGACTCCGATGGTTGATTACCAGCGTCTCCTGTGGTTGACATTGAGGGATATATAAATGCCTGCTGAAATGCGCTCGGAAGGAACTTTGAGATTTTTGCCGCTGATGACTGAGGAGGAGAGCGAGATGATAACAAAAACACTGAGGTGACATAGAGTGACCGACCTTCAAGCCTGGTAAATTCGCCTTCCTAGTTGTTAGGCGTAATGGTGGGATGAAACAAACGGCGAACGACACGACTCACGCAGAGGGGTGTGCAGCCACAATTTCCTTTTATATTTTTCGGCGTGCCCCAGCTCGATCTAAACGATCATGTCCACCGAAACCATAACAAAACGTCTGCACATATCTGGTCTCACAACACCCGCCATCACACCTGCTGACCTTGCAAAGCGACTCGGAGCCTTTGGCAAGGTAATTTCGCTCGATGGCTTTGGTAAACTCGATGCGCTAGGCCAACCGAGGCCTTTCGGCTATGCGACGATTGAAGGTCGCAAAACAGACTTGGCGAGGTGTAAGTTTTATCTTTTTTTTTGTAAATTTCATGGCTGAAATTAGCTAGGTGTAAATGTACTCAGTGGAACAGTATGGAAAGGCGCCAAGCTTCGTATTGGGGATGCAAAGCCCGATTTTCGTGAACGGTCCGTCTTCGCCCCAAGTCACTCACTCCACACTGACCTCGAAAAACAACAGACTCGCCTCTCTTTCCGCTCCACCACCCAAAAAACGGCGTACCAATTCCAAGGTAGGCACCTATGCGCCTGATATGTCACTGGTCACGCCCGAAACGGCACGTACCCGAGGGGGTTGGAAGGTCACTGAGATGGGACGTGTGGTGAGAACCATGCGGATGAGACCTGAGAAAGCCTTGGAGCCGCCCAGGGTACTTACAAGTGCAGGGAACAAGAAGTACGACAAAGATGGGAAACTTGTGACTGGGAAACGCAAAAAACGCGTCAAACTCCCCCTCACGCGCGCGCGCCGCCGGACGATCGATCCGACGCGCTGGGACTCAACACATCTAAAGGGTATGTGGTTGGATGCTGAGGTAGCAGGCGCGGTGGATCTTGCAGAACACGCAGGTGGACCTGTAATTCCGAGAAAAAGACGTGATGAGGCGGCCGAGGACAGTGATAATGAACAAGACACCGAAAGCGCGCCTAGTAACCCTGATGAAGATAATGAGCACGAGCCTTCATCACCGCCGGTCCTAAAATCTACTGTTTCTCCTCTTCCATCACCAAAGCTGTCACCCTTTCCCACCGCTCGTTCACCCGTAACTGAAGCTGCGACTGGAGCAATCCCCTCCCTTACGCAAGAAAAGCTCACCTCTCTCGCATTCCTTCGCTCCCTTTTTGGGGACGGGGACGAAGGATGGGGTGGACAGGAGAGTTTGTCTGATATTGAAGATGCGCATCTTGAGGGTAAAGGTAAGGCGAGGGAGCTTCAGGTTGGGACACGGACGGATGTAGATGAGTGCGAGATCGAGGAAGTTCCGCATGAGAAATACAGGGAAATGGAAATGGGATCAGATACAGCAATGTCTCCGCTCAACACGCAATCTGACCCTACATCCGCGTCAAAGCCATCCGCTCAGAGTCAGAAGGACACAAAACTGAAAGATCTCTTCGCACCGAGGGAGGAGGAAGGTGTGTTTATTTCATTGTATATACCTCGTTTTATTCTGCTTGTCTGTTTTCTTCATCTTTTAATGCCCCCGTTTTCATTCCCGTCGATCTTGACTGACTGCAACCTGTTACAGCTGGATTTTCATTACTCGGTCATCTCGACCTAGACTTTGAGGATGAAGACGTTCTCGGGATTTCTGACCTTTCCCACCCCACCCAACCACATCATGCGCTACCTCCTCATGTCGTCTCCGTTCCTCGTGAGCAGCCACAAGCGCACCCAACGCTGGACTCGAATTTTCCCTTCTTTTTCCCTCTCCCACCAACCCTCCGTTCACGTTCCTCCAACGCAAGAAATACACCTCGAGATATATTCTCCCTCTTCCCTCACGTGGGCAAAGAGAAAGATAATAACGGGGAGCCCTTCTGCCGCACCCAAACTACCTCTGAAATTCACTCTCAGTGGGAGACCCAAAAAGGTGCGCTGACGAGGGAGTGGAAGGCTCGGTGGAGAGAGGCTTCGAAAGGGAAGAGAGGAAGGGACGAGTGAATTTGTTGGACTCGGAGAATTTGGAGTTACAAGATTCTTGCTCTAAGAGCATCCCTCTGGAGCCTGTACCACGGGTACCAGACATGGTGCACCGCGCCTTTCTTCATCTCACATGCCCAAACTTTTGACCGTTCAGCTGGCCACTAGGATGATTGATGTACTCCGCTTGCGAAGATAGTGTATCTTCAGCATCACTTTGGTACTACTGGCAACTCATTTACTCTGCCTAATACTCTCCGAGAATGTATGGTCAAAATGTGATCCATATATCCACGTCATGTACGGTAGGTCAGACATACCGACTCTCATGCGCGCCAGCTACATGAGACTATTACTCTTGCATGAATAAGTCGGGATCATTGAATATGGCCTCATCTCAAATGAAGAGAGGCCCGGACTAGGAACAAAAGGAGGACTATGTAGGTAGTTAGAATGAGAAATATCATGCGTCGGCAAATACTAATATTGACCAGTCTTCGGATTGAGGGACTGAGGAGAGTTCGTTGCGGAGATGTCAGGATAACCTAGAACGAAGAACAAGAAGTGCACGGGCAGAACAGGTATAGCAAAGAGTGATTGTGTATGTAAAGTAAAATACGTACGACGAATGCATTTTGACACCTTGAAGATACCCAATAACACGTCCCTTTCGATTACCTTATCCTCTCATGTCCGTCCCGCTGAAACCCAAACTACACCCAATCAGAAGCTTTTGAATGGAGACTAATCCAGTCCTGGTGCCGATGGTCCGCTCACAGCGGGAGACAGCATCCGCCGCGGAGGCGCCCCTCCTCCCGGCATCCCACCGCCCAGCATAGAGGAAATCATAGCTCCCAAAGGATTATCAGGCTGAGTACGTGGCGGAGGAATTGCAAAGTACAACGTTGCTATCTCCTGTAGTGTCTAAACGTTGCGGTTTGCCTTTAGAAAGTCAAGCAAGCAATGATCATTTGACTCACCGTCCGAACTTCCCTGGTCGCTAAGACGCCACCTTTAGATTGATATGTTCCACAAAGCCTTACCCAGCTCTCGCGCATCACTTTATTCTTCTCCCCATTCGCACGTTGACATGTCAAGACAGCAAGCTGACAGAAGTTGAGCACAGGCTCAGTCGTATGTGTGATTTCACTCGTAGGAGTGACAGACAATGGAGATGATTGCAGTGGCGAAATCAGTTTCGGTCGAGATGAAATCACTTGTGCAATGAACTGCGAAATGAATGTGCGAGCTCCGACGATATTGCCATTTTGTAGATATCTGTGATGAGAAGTCATGAACCGGGGAACGAAGGAAATGGTATGGACATGAGTTCCAACTTACGGAAGTGTACCTCGAAGGGCAAAGTTCCCTGGAGCTCCGCCCGCTGCTGACCATTCTATCATCATATTCGCTAGTGAACGTGCGCTATCCCTTTTTCCTGACGCGAGGAAGTGAGGTTCTGCCGCATCGAAAGCCCCATCTACACATCGTGAGCACGACAATCAGTTTTGTAGATACTGCCGCATATACCTTTATATAAGAGCTCTCCGATGTAGTGATGCAGGTCTTGGTCACCTGCGGGACAATCACCATGTCTGGCTGACCATCTAAACGCATTATAATGATCAACCCAGGTCCCGACCCGATATGAGCACAACCATACGATATGGATCTATCAATGATCGTTTTCCTCCATGATCCGGATGATCCAGTCAGCGCGATGAGTTGTGTTAGTCTCCCTGAGCATATCGAATCAGTGACGTATTCCCTTGCATGCGGTAGATCAGGAGCACACACCTCGAGACTCATCATCCACGGCCTCACCCTTGCTTTCATATACTTCCAAAAGGAACAGCGTCAAATCTGTTCCGCTTCCCTGCTGGCCAACTTTCAGGAGTTCTCTCGCACTCTGGAAGAGCACGTCGATGGCAGTGTCGTACTGCCCAGACTTGCTGTACCGTGAAGCGAAGGTGCGTGCTTTCTGGTGCGCTTCGTAGGGCTGCCCAGACGCGACAAGCGGTATAATCGCGTTCAGGGCGCGAGAGGATGAACCGGATACTGCAGGCATCGCTGTGGTTCTAGTGGTGAAGGGTATGGGTATGCATTTCAGTTGGATTGCATATTGTTTCAATATTGTTGGTGTCAGGGGTCCTGCCCGGCTTACTCCAACGTTCTGCCCAGCCAGACCACGATCTAAATCAATTCTACACAAGAGGAACAGAGAACTATGGGAGACTATGGGATACTATGGGCCATCCATTTGTCCCCACTATGTTCGTCTCCACCCACCCAATTCTTGAGAAATCCCGCAACAACTGTTTTTGCCAACCACCCAACAAGGATCACCACTGTCGTAAATACAGGATGACAGTCGAGCACAACTGCGAGGGAATCATTCAGTAAATGCGAATTGTAAGAAATATAGACCAATGCAAACCACGAAGTCCGAATCCAGTCGCCATTCCACCCAAAACATTCCTAACGACCCACTCACGGTCTAGTTTGTCCTCATCCCATATCTCGAGGGCCCGTGTAACAAGAGAGCTGCTGTAGTATGAAGGATCCCAATAGTATGGAGAACCTCCAGGTTTAGACGCAGAAGGGCGCCATATCGTGAGCAAGAACAGAAGAAAAAGCTTTGTGAGGGAAGAGTAGAAAATTGTCAGAGGGATGAGCGAAAACCTAGGCTTGCAATTGAGGTATCCATTACCACTAGGAGCAAAAACTGAACCTCACTTGAACTGTTGTCGAACACCTGATATTTCTGCTGGCGAGGTACTTCTCCTTGAACGAATGAAATCTGAGAGTGCGAGTACAAAATACGATGCAAACATAACTCCTCCATGAAATGCAAACGTTTCTGCACGAGCTATCAGCATGACACTCAATAAAGAAAACAAGCACGGCACCTATAATGCATCCAATGAGGATCCGGAGGAAGACAATGTTGGTTTCAACTGTCCACCGTGATACATCTGCAGATATCTGAGGATCTAATGACCATGAAAACGCCGACAGCCTTTAAACAAAAAATAAAGCTGACTGAGATGTGCCCATCGAATAACTAAGATAAATGAGCCAGAGTATACAGTGGGACTCGTGGTCAATGACTTCACGTACATGCATCGACAGTGATAAGCCCGCAAGCAAGCTTCAAAATGAGCCACCATCTGTCCTACAAGCCTAGTACTCAGCAACGGTATCACAGACAGACTAATCACTCACTTTCTCCCTTTGTCGGTCTTTGGTAGCAGCCAGGGCATGCTCACCTTCCCGACTTCCCTCCGAGTCAAGGTCAGTCTTACTCCCGAGCGCCTTTCGCGGCTCCGTCCCTCTATTATATATCAAATGTCTATACACTTCTCGCTTCAGTAGAATGAGATCCAAGAGGAGCGTCAGAGAGTCGTGCTCGACATATGGATCTGCAAATTTTAGGCATTTGCTCTACCAGTGACTCTCGTGTTAGAATAAAACCAAAATGAGTAACACCGCGCACCAACGCATTGTTCAAGTCTCAGGTTGTATGCGGATTCATAAACTGTGTAGAGGTGCGATATGGGGTGTGTGCAGGTGATACAGATGGGCATGCTGGATTAGGAAAGTAACAAGGTTGTGATCAAGCCTCGACTCAGTAGTCTCGAGTTCTGAGATCTGATGTTCCGCTTTGACACCGAGACAATGAGTTATTTACAATCTAAGCAACATGTCCTACTTGCAAACTACAACTTTTTGACAGCCTGTTTTTGGGGTTTCCCCTTGACTCAGATGTTGTATTGGTTTTGTTTGCAGATAACATTTCTAATAAGAGGTGCACTGTCGGGATGCACTCAGCATCACGCTTTCAAACAAAAAGGCCACCACAGCCCGCTCTAACATTAATTCCAGAACTGCATCATGGCCATCGAGTACACCATCGGGTTGGTGAGCCCACATTCCCTGCGATCCAGATCAACGTCACTCATCTATTCAAAAGGCACCATCTCCACCAACCTTGTTGAAGGACAAAATCATCTGCCTGTGGGACAGAGGTGACGGAGTACGCTGCCGCGACGTCCTCAAAGGTGACGCGCTATCCTTGCATCTCTGTAGCGTCCACGGGTGCCGGGGGGCTGAAGATGCCACCCTGACATGCTGGTGGGATGGCTGCGCACAACACATGGAGAAATGCGCCCTTGTCAAACACATCCAAGACATACATCTCGGCGTAACATATCCATGCCGGCGATGCGGTGTGACATTTGCAGGGAAAAGGAGCTTTGAGCTGCATTTGCTGGGTTGTCCACCCCCAAAGAAAAGAATCGAGGTAGAGCTATTCGAACGTACACTCGTCTTCGAACGGTCGCTGTGAGTCGCTAGAGTGTTTTCGGGGATTCCTTGATTATCCTGTTCACATGAAAGGAGGTTTATGTACACTTACTAGAATAAATCTGCAAGTAACCTCACGCAAAGAAATCTAGAACATCAGTATCAGCATGTGTGAGCGAGCTCGGCTTGTTCAGTGGTTCTTCTCAGGTTTTATGTGCTCAGGTCGCCGCAGATACGTCGAGTTACGAAGGACAAATGTCTCCTCAGCCCATCTTCTAGGTCGGCGTAATTCCCTCATGATAAAGAGTCTTCCTGTAGATCAATAAGAAGTGGGTCACTAAAACAGATAAGACCGACCCAGGAACTCTTGCAAACGAACTGAACGGACCAGGCTCCCAGGTATGAATGGTAAGCTGTTTGCAAAAGGTTTGCGACCGTGTGGGCTTGTACATGATCAATGATTCTTAAACGCGTTTTACCTTCGGTCCACGAGGCGAAATGTAAGAACACGCAGAGAATCATAGTGGTTCCCGTAGACATGAGAGCAATCATCCTCGGATATAGCGCACACGTATGATGGCATGCTACTAAGATACGTCACACACCACTTACGCAAGGAAAGGGAACATCGCTTTCCTATCCCTTGGGTAATCGCTCCCAAACTCTTTCCTATATCCGCGGTGTTTCTTAATGGCCCAGACATACATCTGATACGTCGAAATGACCAGGAAGATCCATGCTAGTGCGCGGATCATGAATTCAAAACAGAAGCACAAAAAACAGAAAGTAGCACGTACCAGCGTAACTTCCTGTGAGAGCCGCGATGACCAACCACCCAAGGAATTCGAAGAAGTAGTTAGGGAACGAGACGAGGTTGAAGCCGTACCCTCGAGGAATGGCGCGTTTGCGGCTTCCTGCAGGCCGGAGGGCACGGAGCTTGATGTGAGTAATAAGATTAGAGATTTCGGAGAACTAAAAGCAGGCAGGTATTAAGTATGCGTTACAATGCATGCCAAAATACCAAGACACGCACCAGCCAGATAGCAGCGCCTGCTTGAATGTACAGAGGATCATTGCGAACTGTGCCACGGATGTAGGGCGAGGCAGCACCATATACAGGACTGTAAATGCTGTACGCAAGGGCAAGGCCTCACATGGAGTCAGCTTGATTGCTGTCTCCCAATACACATAAACATACCACTTCCAATGTGATAATGAGCAGAGCTAACAAATACGCGTCAGTCGGTCTACTAAAACAAGTATTTCCAAAACGCGTACTTCTTGAAGATATTCGTGAAAGGCATAGTCGCATGCGAAAAACGATGCACAAATAACGTTTCTAGCTCTCGTTTGGCGAAGTGCAGCATGACAAATGCTAACACATAGCTGTTCACGCTTGAGTACATTATTTAAACCAGGAAGTCATGCATGCAAATACCGTTGTAGCATGCTGTGCTGCACAGGACCACCATAAAACAACTTGGGGAAGTAGTAGATCACTGGGTGGATGAACAGTGGGCCAGCCTGAGGATGACACGTCAGTAGCTCGCAACTACGAATTGTACGAGACACTCACATATTCAACCAAGAATACAGTTTTCCAGCTCACTTGCGGGCCGAGGTCTTTTACAGACAACTCCCCGCCTTCTGCTACACCAGCGACCTTCAATGTAATATCATCGGCTAAAACATTCTTGGAATCCTTGAGGGTAATTTTTTGGCGTTCTAAGTAGAACTTGAAAATGTTTTAGACGTCCAGCTGTGTGGATAGGAAAAGACTTACTCTAGGATATTTTTCAGCTATCGCGCTCTTGACATCTGCAATAGTCGCGTCCTCGAGTTGCTTTCCTGAAAGTTCCACGACCATGGGGAGGCCACGAGCCAGAGAAATTGGCTTCCCCGCTGCGGATACGTTTATGGAGACCATTGCGTATTATGGGTTTATAATGATCCAGTACTAGTGTTGTCAGTCTCTGACAAGCAGCCTTGGGCGCGTCGGGAAGAAATCGGCATCTTTTAAGTTGCCGGCACGAAGGTATCGTTATGTGACACCCGCCAACATTCCCCCACTCGCTCACCCATCCCTCGAATATGACCGTAGTCTCCAATGCTCCCAGTTGGTGGCCGTTCATCAGTTTGCGTATTTTTTTAAGTCATTGGACCGGTTTGTTGATCAGTTAGTGATGTCTCGATCCAACATTGACTTGCAGTTTCGTAGTTGCCGCAGGCCTCGTGGTGGTATACGATTGGGGTGAGTAGGACAGTGCTCGAAAACTGCTGATATTCTCATGATATTTATAGTACTAACACTCGGACAAGAGGTAGGTCGAAGTTATCCCCGGAGTGGTCAACTCGCTAAGAATGGTGTCATAGATTGAACTGATCTGGGTGAGTGACAAGAATCCCGTATCAGAAGAAAAACAGGAGAATATAATGAATTTGCGACAGAGGCAACGCTGGTCTCTCATGAGTGTGCTGTATATCGCTGTTCGTATCTCGTGTTATACTATAGCGTGGTTGGCAGTTCTGTTGACTCCAAAATGTTCTAGATACGCTATATTGGAATACGATATTCTGTGTATGTGTCGAGGCCAACGATTTGGCACCGTGCTGATAGCTCATCTTTGACGATTAGTGCCAATGTTCTGAGTATGTTTCACATGCGCTGTGTTCGATTCTTCTGACCGCGGCACATACTGGCAGTGTGTATGCCAATGATTTCGCTGACAGATACAGTGAGTATTCCGCAACCATCTCATTCCAATGCAATGAATATACTCATTTGTAGGGGTGAGTGAGATTCTGAACATTGAACTTGGCTCAACATAATAACTCAATAGGTGTGAGTCGGAGTGTTTGATACTAGTACGATGGTGATCACTAATCGAGTGTTTCAGGCAACATCGTGTACTACCCAGTAAATGGGATAACTGTGGTCGTAACTGCCATGTTGTGCGGTGAGATACCTAGCTGCAATACCTCGGTGACTCGACTGAAACATGATGCAAGTCATCATGATTACTCGGCTATATGCCATGTACCAGAGATCTAGAATTATTCTTATCATCCTTGTCATTATATTCCTGGCTATAAACATCGCTTGCGGAATAATCGCAGCAATAGCACTCAAGCATACTGTAGCAGGTAAGCTTTACTTGTTGGCTTGAAGAATACAGCTTATTGGACAAACACTAGGGGAATTGATAATTTCCGGCATGTATATGTGCAATTTTGAATATGAGGGGGATGCCCAGCTTCTGGCCACAATGGTTTGGATGCTCAACACTGTGTGGGAGGTTCTCGCATTATGTCTTGCAGTCTGGATTGCTGTAAAACACTTCCGTGACCTGCGGCGACTCAGCCCATCGACAGGATCAACCATCGGAGACTGTTTCAGAGTGCTAATAAAATCTCACGTGCTTTATTTTGCAAGGTGAGCTCGTAATCTAATTAGGCTACCTTTTTCTAAAGTTCCGCACACGCTAGCTTTGTTGGTGTGTCTTCCCTCCAGCTTACGATTCTTTCTCCAGAGGTCTTGGTGCGCTGACATGTCGCTCGCATCTGCTTGTAACCACTGCTCATCATTTCTGTAGCATTCACATTCAGCTCTGATACTCATTGGTGTTCTTCAGATTTTACTGAGTGTGCAGTTGTTTGTACTGGGACCGCGCCTCATCCTTAGCGTTCGAGAACATTACGCTAAACTCGTAGCCAACTCCGATGCAGAAACTAGCATGAATTCGATTGTCTTCCAGGAGCGTGTACATGTACCAACTAGCAGTACTGTGTAAGGAAATACTTGTCAAGTGGTTTCCAGGGAGGAGAAATCTGGTCGAGGATCTGTTGTGGTATTTATTTAACATCTAGTGTGTTTGAAAGGTCTAGGTAAACCCATTTATTGTTGTACCACTGCTGCAACCATTGCAAGTTGTTGCAAGTAGCTACTCACCCACGCTTGTGGCAACAAGTGGTAAGCGGAAATGATCCGAAACGTCTAGCAATTAAGCCATTGCTACTAAACATGAGCTAGATACAGATATGCATATATACTTGACTTGGAATAAATGCCACAGTGAACGCGATGATTGCTACTGTTTTCAGTTTTGCGAACGTTAAGCTTCAAGTTGAACATGATATGTGATCTCAGTGCAGTGATTTACATACATCATAAAGGTGGCGCCAGTCCCCGATTCGGGTAATCTTATATCCCTCGAATGCCTGGCAAACTTGTCTCTGTTCTGCTCAGCAATTTCCTGGAGAAAACAAGGCAAGGTCACCGCAAGGGCATCACTCTTGGTGCGCACAGTCCAAACTCATGCGAGCCAAAACACGGGCGGTAAACATCGTAACAGATGCGGGTCAATACTGAAAGCCGGTATAACATTCCTCATTGTACTGAAACTATGGGGTACAAAATGCTTCTGGGAGTTGGCGACGTACGCGGAAGCACTTTGAGGAAATCAAACCTGTAACAATCAAATCTGGAAATTGGAAACTTCAATACACTCTTCATCCCCCTTTTGGGAACTGTCACTCGACTCCTGGATATCTGCCCCTCCCCTCATGTCTGCCACAGGCGTCGCTCGCTTGCCTCCAAGGAACATGCGTCCACCAGGCGCATCCTCCAAAGACCTCACTACCACATCCTTCTCGAACAGATACTTGATGTCCTCCAACGCATACCCCTTCGTCTCAGGGAGGAAGAAATATGTCCACGCTGCCATGATCACGCAGCAGATGCCAAAGAGCAGGAATGTCCCGTACGTGATCTTCTCCAGCATGACTGGAGTCAAGCGTGATATCATGAATGAGAACAACCAGTTGATGCTGACCGCGACAGTAAGTGTGGCTGCGCGGACATGATTGGGTGCAACTTCGCTGGCCACGACCCACGGTAGAGGTCCCCAGCCGATACAATAAAATACTGCGTAGAGGTAGACGGCGACGATTGACACGTAACTCGCAGGTATAAAAGTACTCTGCGGGTGGATGGCGCCGAAGGCACCAATCCAGAGCATGGTTAAACCTTGCCCCACGGCGCCCACGAAGAGGCACATCTTGCGACCCCAACTTTCCACAGCAAATGCCAGGGTAAGACCGACAGCGATGACTTTCACGAGACCGTATATTCCTGTTGCAAATAGGCCAGATGCTGTGCCAGTAATACCAAGCGCAGCAAAGATCTGCGGGCTGAAGTAGTTGACAGCGTTTGTACCAGTCCATTGCTGGAAGAAGGTAAGGATAGAGGGGATAAAGCAGCGGAGCGCAACCTGACGTGACTCTCCCATCATGCGGAACTGAGTAACCAAAGATGTTCGCTGCTTGCCGATGAAGTCCGCTTTGATCTCGTCGAGTGTAAGAAGAACAGCTTTGTCATCGACTGACGTTCGAACAACATATGCAAGCGTCCTTGCGGCCTCATCGTAGCGCCCCCGCTCGACCAACCAACGGGGTGACTCTGGTTGTGGAATCATGAGAAGGATGAAGAGGACACCCGGGACAAGCTGAATCATGAAAGGCATACGCCACTGCATGTCGCTATATGGAATATTGATAGAAGCGCTGTAGTTCACCCAGACTGTGACAAATATTTTATCAATCCAAGGATACCTCATCTACAGATGAATACGTACAACTCAGCATCATACCAATATTGTCAGAGAATTGGACAAGGCCGGTACACCTCCCCCTGATGTGTCTGGGCATACACTCTGATATGTATGAGGGAGCCAGGGCGGATACCATGCCCACTCCGATGCCAGCAAAGACGCGGCTAAAGTATAGTACTCGAAGAGCGACAGCCTGGCTGCTTCCGAGGCCAGCGACGGATTGAATCAGGCTTCCGATGGTGTATATAACGCCCGAAGCAATTAGAGACCGTTTCCTCCCAAAACGACTGGATGCCCAACTAGTCGATAAGGCACCGAAGCTGGAGATTTAAAAACAATAGGATGAGTAGCAAAGCGTTCTATATTCTTAATGACGTACATGGATCCAGCCTGCATAACTGACACGATATTGCCATTGAAATTGGCTTGAGCAGATGCGGACAACTTATCGATACCAAAGTAGCGCTGGAAAGACGTAAGGGTTAAAATGCCACCCATGAGTCCGGTGTCCCAACCGAAGAAGATAGATCCCATAGATGCAGACAGGGCGAGGGTGTATGCATTGCGATGACGCGAAAAATCTGCCAGTGCGTCTGTGAAACCCATGGTGGAAAGCAGAAGGGGCGGGCAGAAGCAGTGTGCGTTCCCGCATTTTTAGTTCTGCTCAACCCCATATCGTAGTACGTGGGGCCCACTGCCACTAATGTCCGAATATGAAATCATCAATCACCTGGTCAGCCCCTGGTATTCATATTTACCACAGAAACTATAATAAACATGAACTCAGGGGTGAGACTGTATTTCAACGATGTGAGTCTCTCCGGGTATCGGTACGAACTTGCGAAAGGGCGAGTTCCTGGAGGTTGTCTCATGACATACACCAGTGGGACCAACATACTCACCCAATACTGTGAGATGCAGTTCGTTTTGATTCGTTTGCAAATCATTCACATGCTTTGCCTGTCGGGGCCCTTGACAAGTTGAAATATTGGCATTGGAGGGTAGTGGTCAAGCTTATGTATTAAATTGAACCATTTCCAGCCGGCAAATTGACCGGCAATCAAAATCACTTCTAGACTCTTTGCTCAGCTCAGCGTTTCGAAATTCGGGCCCATCAGAATGATCTTCAAGTCTTCTGTACATAGAGCTTCGACACTCTTTTCAACTGAGCTTTCACAAGTTCTACGAAAAAGTATGACGCCACTTCTTGTTGCGCTATTGCAACAGTCCAAAGTCTAGCTTAACGTCGCTTCACAGGATGCCTATCCACTGCCGTGTCACCTGTCGAGCTGGCCCACGACGAACACATACCTGCAGATGGAAATCGGTCGCATAGACCACTCCTCATCCTACACGGATTCTTGTCAGTCTCTTTCTCTGCTGTTCACTTCCATCACGTAGTCATGAAGCGGACAGCGGTTCGAAACGCAACTGGCAATCTCTCTCCAAGGCGTTCATGCGCGACCTCAGCAGACCCGTATATACACTTGTCAGTGAGGCCCTCACTCTGCGCTATAGCATGACTAACATGATACCAGGATTTGCGAAACCACGGATCTTCACCGCATGCTAGACCGATGACGTATTCTCACATGGCGGCGGACGTCTTTAGTTTCTGTCAGAAGCACTCACTGCGCAATATATCACTTATGGGACATTCTATGTGTGCTCTCTTTCAACAATCTGCTGCGTTCAAGTACTCATTCCATGTGAGGGGCGGCAAGGTCGCGATGGCCCTTGCATTGCATCCCGAACTACCCTCTAACTTACTCACAGACCTTATAGTGTCTGACATCGCTCCCGTCAGAGCCAAAGTCTCGCAGGATACCGTACAACACATACGTGCTATGGAAATAATACAGGCAGGCAACATCTCCACCAGAAAGGAAGCGGACGAAATAATGTCTGAGCACGAACAGGTGCCTTTGACCGCACTCCCAACTTTCCGTATACTTATGATGCTCTCTAGGATCCCAGTGTCCGATCATTTCTGCTTACGAATCTGGAGATTAACAAAGCAACGCCCGTGAAATTCAAGATCCCTGTCGACATTTTGAAAGAAGGCCGAGCAGAGATAGAATCTTTCCCTTATGCGCCTGGGGAACGATCCTGGGATGGTCGTGCCTTGATTATCAAGGGAAAGAAGAGCAAGTGCGTGTCAGCTATGCATAAAAAGATACGCCACTGGGAGCCTGACTGCCTTGACAGATACATTAATCGTCACAACATACCTTTAATTGATCAATTTTTCCCACAGAATCAGCTGAAAGAGCTTGACACTGGACACTGGGGTAAGTACAATCACGATCATACATTGCGAGTGTCCTATATTAAGCTTTTGGTTTCGTCCAGTGCATGCCGAGCTGTAAGTTATCCCCGAGTGCTACTCTATCTCTTATTAACGTCCTTCGAATTCGAGACCACATGAATACAGGAAGCTAGTCGTAAATTTTATCACACAATAGACATATATTTAACTACAATCTACCAATAGAAGACACCGTTTACGCCTGCGTGTGAGTTAAAACTGTGCTGCCCATTGGCTTACATGTCCTAGTCGAGCGAAAGTCTTTAGAGGTTGAAAATGAGTCTACACTTCACTAGACCCGCTTCCCTCGCTCCTTCCTGCACCGTTTCTGTCGGACAAAGGGTTGTCCGTATTACTCAGTGCCACGGCAAGTGGATCTGGTGAGTCCTTCTCATGCGTGGACGCCTGTGCAGGATTCAAATCTTGATAGTGCATCCTGCAACGGGAATCAGTATATCTGAACAAGCACGTAGCTTTCAATTACCATTTCAACATGGCGTAGAAGGCAGATGCCAGTAGAGAGCCGAGGAAGGGTCCAACCCAGTACTACAAGGAGGCAAAGTTCAGGTGTGCGTCTACGAACAATAATTTTGCTTACCACCCATTGGCTAGGGTAAGGAAACCCGGTAACGACAGCAGGCCCGAATGCACGTGCCGTATTCATAGCCGCACCCGTGTAAAAGACGGCCCATCTGTGCGATTTTTAACCATATTGTTATATAGCGAGGTGTGTACACAACTCACAGTTGTCCAACGAACAGTGTGAGGCCAATGCCAACCTGATGCACAACATTCAACATTACTCATGATGAGATATGTCAACCATCCGTACCGGTGCAAATGGAGTAACTTGAGATTTTTCAGCGGCGAGCATCAGAACGGCTAACACCAGCGCTGCTGTGAGGAACATTTCGATGAAAACGCCTTGAGCTGAATTGATTCCCTTTTGGAGGAACGTGCTATCGCCAGGGATAGAGTCTGTGAGGATCGAGAAAATCGATAGCCGCAACCGCCACTTACTTGACAGCCAGCGGTCCAGGGGTCAGCGCAAGTAACAACGCCGATGCAACAATGCTTCCGACCAGTTGTGCGATGCAGAACAACACGAATCTTACGGGATTCATCACTCCCACGAGAAACAGTGCGAGTGTGATGTTGGGGTTGAAGAGGCCACCGGTGATCCTGTAGAACAACCAAGCGGAGACTAGAAGGCTGAAACCCATGGATGTCGCGATGTACATGACATGTTCGATGGTGGTGCCACTGGACTCAGCCTCGCCATTGGCCGCCTGAATACCTCCGAGCCCTAGGAGTAGAAAGAATGTTGTCCCGACGAACTCGAGTGCAGCAGCCTTGCAGTCCAACTTGAATGTGCTGAACATCCCAGGGGTAGAGTAACGAGACGGTGTCCTGGCGGCTGACATGGTTTGTTACGACGAAGAGGAGCAATTCGCTTTCATTTATACCCCATCAGATGTGCGTGACATCACTATGATAGTACTCAAGACTTGCTCAAGACATTTCATTATAGCCTACTGATCGATCGGTGGCAGTGCTCCGTCCCTTATTGGACCTACATCGATTCGCCTGTCCCTTCTTCGGTTTTACCCTCGTGAATGTCACAGATTTCCGCCCAGATTATGGATGTGAGCTCAAGTTCTGAAGCTTTGAAACTTGAAGACCGGTGACTTTATTCTGCTGGTAATGATGAGCTTTTTGGCCGCGCCCCTAACTATGATATGGTCTTTGAGAAAAGAATCTTCGGTTACAAGGAGATACAGAATTAAGAAGACAAACAGACTTGCAGAAAAACTTTGAATCAAGTGCACCGTGCTATCCCACATGTAAAACGGGCACTATGATGCACTTGTTCTTCGTGACCAGACTTCGTTACGGGACGGCAGAGTACGGTGCGGCTAAACCCTGGCACCTGCACATGATAGTAGGGAAGTGTTGGAGGGATGGATGGTGCTTAAGTGAAGGCGTGGATCAGTTGGTAACTTCGGGTGGCAGTGTTAATATCGTAACCAGCTGCCCCCAATACGTTAGTAAATCACGAAATCAAAAATTACAGAAGGACCATCATTTTGGGGCTAGAGGAGATCGAACTTTGTACTTTGCATTTGCTACGCCAACACCCTGCCCGACGATCCATTCAGGGCTAAGCTCTCTCTGATATCAGGACGAGGAATTGCACATCTGCGCGGATGCTGGGTCATCAACCAGGGTCGGATTAGTCTCTATCCTTGAGTTTGAGTTTCTGGCTGGGTGAGCCCAGCGGGATGTGCATGAAAAAGCAACTGACAGCGATGTACTATTGAACGTGTCTTTGCTGTGTCTCCAGGACCGAATGAGCTGACTAGAATCCATGCTTTCCAGGGTATTCCAGGGTTGACGATGATGAAGACTTGTAAATAGCATATCAGTACCGAGTAGTGTCAGAGTCTTCGGGCATTGATCGCTCTGGCCTGTCATGCATGACGTATGTGGTCACATTCGAGCGCACGATCGTCGCTACGCAGTAATACGCGATGCTGAAGATAGGCATTCCTCGCAAGCGCATAGGTGGATACGGCCTCCCTGAACGAACAACGATAAAAATGCGTACTGGACAAATGCAAAGTTTGTTGTCCGGGAAAAAAACGGTATCCGCACGGCCGAGTTTGTACGCTGTAAGTCGAACTGATCTTTTTCAACTTCAAGGTAGATATTATGTGCCCAATGGTCCTGTGCAATGAAGAGTAGCTTACGGAACTTCGGGCGTTCGAAAAGAGATTTGAGTGGTTAAATTGACGCGTGTGCGATATAGATGGGTATCCGAGTAGTATCTGTGCTGCTGCCTCCAAAGCATACCGAACAGGTCAGAATAAAGCCGTGTTGCTTCGCATGCGAGACGATCCGAGCCGGCTAAGATACAATTGTTTGCTATTGCAAAAAATATAACCGGTCAGTCCGTATGTGCTAATGGAATTATGAAATGATATCGTTAACATTATCGTCAACCGAAAAATAGAGCCACACTGTTGACTGATGAAACAAAGTTGAAGACTGAAACTGTGTCCGAATATCCCCATTACTAGGCGCCACTTCCGCTCCTTCGAATACCTGGCAGCGCTGCGCCGGCAGCTAGAAGCGGTGTCGACGACATAGATGCACTTGGTGTGGTTACATCCCCGCTAATAATATCCTGTATAGCAGCCTCCAGTGCATCCACTCTATTTGACATTTGCATCACTGCGAGATGGTTCAATCTGTAGGTTCAGTGAAAGGTCACAGGAGGTCGCAAACGCACTGTGATCAAGAATCTGAGACGACATATTGTCAAATTGGGTATCTAGTTGTTCAAGTAAAGTTTCGACCTGTAATAATTGTTAGTCGTCACTTGCCAGTCGGGAGGCTGCAGGAGCAGGAACTCGGAAAACGCACAAAAGCTGTTAGCTCATGGGGGCTTGATATTTCACCAGGGTTGGTGGCAATGGCATGTTTTGTGGGAGTCTTTGAGCCTGAAGCAGATGGTTGCGGTGAAGCTCTTGCCGGTGTTGATGCAGGAGTAACTTTTAGTGGGAGAGCAGTCGACGGCATTTGACAAGCACTGTGGAGTTGTTCAATCTGCGTGATGATGGTGCAGCTCCAGGGTTGTATTATTACGTAACACCCCAATTTGGTCCGGACTCAGACGTCGGCATTCTCTGTTCTCTCCGCGACCTATCCAATATTCCGGCTCGAGTCCAACATCAATATTACCCGGTGTTGGTGTTTTTACGGGGCGTTTGATGAATGCATGGCTCAATCAGATTATCAGTCATGGGGCTGTCAGTACTCTTGGCATTTTATTGTCAAAAAATGCTACCATGATTGCCAGAAAAACTGTACAGTTACATGTCACCGCAGATGTCGGACAACTGTGACGATCCGTTCCCGCCGGCCTATTTCGACATAGTGGACTTCCTTCAAACCTGATCCGAATGAAAAATAAGGTAGTGCAGCTGATTTTTGCTGACCATCATAATGTTTCATGACTAGTGCCTTTCCGGGGTATTGAATCTTCCCGGGAGTCTAACACATATTTATGGAGCGTGGAGAAATCATGCTTCGTCCTGGAGCAGCTCGGACGGTTGATCATTTCTGCAGCCTCTTGCTTGGTACAACTTATAAGTGCGTTTACTTCGTTTAAGAATCGAGTCGATTCCAGCCACCTAATAGCTCAGACACATTGTACATCGAGACAATAGATCACGATCCAAGACGAGTACCATTCTTATTCTGGCAATGTCATCCTGCGGCTTCCGATTGCACACGAATTTTATCGGTTCCGGAGCCAGGTGTTCGGTCCTTATCGAACCCTAGTTTCATTAAATTCTAGAGCTTGTTGACCAGACTATCGATACGCCAAATCAGCCGGCGTAGCATGCTTTGTTTCCAATGGCAGACCATGGGTATCATGGGCATGCCATTATGATGTGGCACGTACATACTAGCATCTTTAAGTACGTGGTTTATATTTGAGTCGTTTCATCTTGCCTTTACGCCTAACTTAAACCTGCCGCTATGACAGCTATGCAACACCGCGTTTTCTTGAACGGCTTGAACTGTGATTCCCTTCAAATCTTCCATCATTATAAATACCTAAAATGTTTCTGAGAAATCTGTCTCTTCACTTGTGTTTCCCCTGATTCCGTCCAGCCTATCACTCATCTCGACATTCTCGATACGACTACGATGAGTTCCATGCCCCCTACTGCAATATATACTAGCACCCGTTCTGACTTTGAGACTACAAGGTTTATCTTACCTGACCTTATCAGCGATTGTCACTATCCGCTGCGGCTGAATCCTGACTGTTATCCAGTCTCTCGCGCTTCTGAGCAATGGCTTCTTGACGGAGCGCGTCTTGCAGAGCCCAGAGTGACAAAATTTATGGGATTGCACGCAGGTGAACTCACTGCGGCCTGCTATCCTGATGCAGATGCTTTTCATCTCCGGGTCTGCTCGGATTACCTGAACTGGTTGTTCAATATGGATGACTGGCTGGATGAGTTTGATGCCGACGGTACGTGGGGAATGCGTGAATGTTGCATTTCTGCGTTTCGCGATCCGATCAACTCCCAGACGGAAAAACTCGCTGGAAAGATGTGCAAATCGTACGTCGGTTTCCTCTATCACGAATCTTCACTGTAGATTAATCGTTTGTATACTAGGTACTTCAGCCGCTTTATGCAGACCGGGGGCCCCGGCTGCACTGAGCGATTCATCCACACAATGGACCTGTTTTTCATTGCTGCGGCAAAACAGGCGGAGGACCGTGCCACGGGACATGTCCCTGATCTTGAATCCTATATCACCATGAGGCGAGACACAAGTGGCTGCAAGCCTTGCTTTGCCCTCATCGAATATGCTGCTCTGATTGATCTCCCCGACAAAGTAATGTCACATCCAGTTATCATGGCCATGGAGGAAGCAACCAACGACCTTGTTACTTGGTCCAACGTAATGTCCCATTATGTTGTCGAATGCTAGAGTACTGCTAACATCATTGTTGATAGGATATCTTCTCTTACAACGTGGAGCAATCTCGCCATGACACACATAACATGGTTGTCGTGCTTATGCGCGAACAAGGTTTAAACCTACAAGGCGCTGTTGACTACATTGACCGGATGTGCAAGGGTTCCATCCAGCGCTTTGAAGACAACCGTGATATCCTCCCCTCGTGGGGAGAACAGCTTGACAAGCAGGTGGCTATCTATATCGAAGGGCTACAGAACTGGATGGTTGGTTCGTTGCACTGGTCCTTCGATACCACCCGTTATTTTGGGAAGAATGGGCACATCATCAAACAAGATCGAATCATCGAATTACTTCCCAAAAGGCCCTTGTAGAATTAACTCTTCTTGCGTCGGTTTCTCTAGGTGAGATCGTTTTGACCTCTTTCGCTGCACATTTCTAACTGCGGTCTATACAAGAATTCTAGATCATCTGCTTCTTATGTACTATAATACTAGATGTCTTACTTCGGATCTATGATACTCTTGACATCCTGCCTACCTACCTTGCTCAAAATGTTTTCGACCTTCAAAGTTCTATGGGTTTTCTGGTTCTCATGCAGTGCCTTGCAGTTTGATATGTTTTGTACCTACCCTTGTGTGGATTTGTACTACTATTCATGCGTAACCATGTATGTAGAATAATGCTTGTGCAAACAGAAGTTGTTTGTGGATATCTACAGTCGGCGGGTACTGGTAGCACCGCTCTTCTTCTTCTTCTTCTACTTTCTCGTCTAGTAACCAGGCCTCAGGGCTCGCCGCAGTGATCAATTACATGTTGCTTCGCTCTTCTCTGCTCGGTGCCTCCGACACCATCAACATTCTCAGGGGTTACTTCATCTAGATTAGTCTAAGGCACCATCAATAACACGACACCCTCGCGAAGTCAGACTCAAATGACGCACCCTCCCACGGTCAGCACCTGCCTCGATTAACATTACCGCAACCTGGGCATGAGCCGACTCCATAGCGAGATGAAGGGGTGTATTGCCTGAGAATAGTGCCTTGATCTAATCTGCTCAATAAACGTGATGATGATAAACCCACCTATCCGGTCGCCCGTGTTCAGCCGTAGTTTGGCAGTTGTTGAGCCTTCAGGAGGACTGAGCAGGAGTGCAACGAATCCCGTAGAGCCTGTCGTTGCCGCTCGATGCCTAAGAGAGCTTGAGTGAATAAGTTTATGACATGCAAGCATTATCGATCTCACAAGGGCGTTTGGTTCGCCTTATCTTTAGCATTGATCTAGTTGTCACTCATTTGATAGTTGCAAAGTATTCTCAAGGAATTCACATACGTCTGCTCCTCTTTCAATCAGGAACCTTCCGATCTGTCAATGTAGACGCCATTAGCACATGCACGCTCATAATACTAACGCCCACGTACGTCAATGCGAGACTTTGATGCCGCGTAGTGTCTGAGCAGTCCATGTCAAACAAGTAGAGATAATCTCCAGCGGGAATATTACTAACAGAGGAGTAATTCCCTTGTCGTTCTTTCTGTTTACTTCAGCCCCAGCACCCACTAGCTCTCGAACGACATCTTCATGGCCTGCGCTTACTGAACTCGAAGTGTATGAGTTCATATTATGCAATATAGTATTCAACAAACCATACCAGCTATGTGCAAGGCTGTCCATCCACTCTCATCCACGTTGTCGATTCCATCTGAGTTCTTCGCAATGAGATAGCACGCAATTTCGGTTGAGCCGCTCGACGCGGCCCAATGCAGTGGGGTCCTACCATCCTGGGGTACATGCATCAGGTGGTCCAATAAAACTTGTGAAGGCTTGCTCACGTCATCGACAGCATTCACAAGCTTTGGATTCTCTTCTGTCAACGCACGAACAAGGGCAGGTTGATCTAGAAGATGGGAAGTCAGGCCATCAAACGTGAATAAGGAAACACCGCAAAAGCGCACTTTTTTGGGCGGCAGCATGGATGGATAAAGACATCTTAATCGCTCTGGCGGTGGTGAAGTAGAACCAATGAAGCTTTGATATGATTACGCGGCTTACTGAGCTAACTCCTAACCCTATGCTATGGTCACGAGGATATATCTAGCGCACCCACTTATCAGATTGTGTTCGCCAACGCTATGACATAGAAAAAGTCAAATATTTATTTATAGTATGTACGTCCAAGAAGCAAGGGGAACATGTGTAAGTACGGATCTCGTGTTGCATCACATACATGTTACTAGTTGCGTAGGTGACGTACTTCATCACTACATCTCCCGTGCATATATAATCAAGGAAAAGGACGACGTTCGGCACTACTAGCTTTAAACCCTTGCCATTCATACACGATCAACCCAAAAACGCAACAGACCGCTCCAAGGATCCATATGGAATACACATCAATGCGTAAAGCTAACGACTTCGTGCGTACAGTGTATCCCAGTCTTTGTCGGTGACATTGTCGTCTTCCGTAACCCCTGTATTTGGAAGCAATGTTTTTTTTTTCTACAAATCTAGAATACCTCGACCTGTTCAAGACGTTTAAAAGTTGACAAATGCATAGTTAGGTCATACGTCACCTATGGTCGTGAAAACGATGTTGGCGGAAAGGTCGGAGATTGCCAGCATTGAAATGGGCGGTCACCGGTCACGAACGAGGCAGATTTGGATGCGTCGCAAGTGCAAAAATTCGAAGCGGTGCTCTTGCGTTGATTTCCGCTTTGGAGCCTGTCTATGTTGTTTTCAATGCTAACGAGGACGACGAATGAACGTGAAGACCCGTATCACTGCGCTGACAGATGGGTTCCAATTCCGTTGAAAACAAGGCAGGCGCCGAGTCTCAAGACAAATTGGAAGTAAGCTTTCGAGAGTTGCAATATGGGCTGGTTTCATGGACGACAAATGTGCAGTGTCACAGTCATTTTGATTTGCCACATTCGAAGTTTGGATTGGCAGGGGCGCAATGAGCGCTGAGTATGGCCCTTTTAGCAGTAATCTTCTGGAAGACCATCGACCCTTTGGCACACGTTGCAACTCTGCAAGCGATTAAACTTTGAAACATGAGTGGTACCTGCCGAGCCGCCCAATACCCCCAAGTTCCAGCCCCTCCATTTCCAATCTTCAATTGAGCTACTTTGTTGGATCTCGATGCTAAAAATGACCTATGACGATCTCGTCTCTGTTGCTGGAAGTCCTTGCTGATTATGCTTCGTGGTTCTAGCGTCATTAACGCGACCGCACAAGAGTGTTCCGATTTGCGTCCTTTGGGGTTTGCTGATGATCGTGATCGATCACTTTTCTCCCAGTCTGTAGTAGCCTACTACGGCTAATAAGAAAGAAAACGAATGGCAAAGGTGGATGGTCTGACGTACAAAGGTAGGTCCCAAAGCAGCTTCTAGCCATCCTGACATTGTAGAGACGATGAGTTACTTTTCTAGCGAACTCAGAAACTCAACTGTTTGCCGCAAGGTGAAGTTTTAAAGCCTATTGCCTTCATTGCAGAGAGCATTTCGCTAACGCAGTATTCGAATGTAGTGCAGCTTTGCGAATAGGTGGTGTGGAGTCCACTGTGGCTATGCTGGTTTGTCTTGATAACATTTGAGCTGAACGTTCTAGATGTCCCGTTGGTACTTCTTTTAATTGTCCTGATGGCCAAGCAAGGATTTCGAAACGAGTTGTATACCTCAAGAACAGAAAATACCGTTGCATGGAAGCTGTGGTATTAGCATAGTAGACGTCAATTTTACCAAAATTTTACCACGCCTTACATATGACAGGACCAGTTGCATTGCATTTGACTCTTGGCCTTCATCTCATCTCAAGCTGGCGTCCTTTGGCTTTCGGGTGTGCTTTGTTTCCGCAGCTGGCCCTTGGCCGGGTGGAGGTCGTCGTAGAAGCTACGTACCAATTCTGACCATATTGGCACGTTTGGCCATCGTCCTCTTGACTGAGTCATACTTTTGGCAGCGGAAATTCGATGGTCTTGCTATTCTGCACGTGTACTCGGCAGGGGATATTGACGGCACGCTTCATTGAAGGCCAAGGCCAGTGACAACTGACTCATATTCGATGGACATGGTTCTGTCTACCAACCAACGAAAATTTCACCGTCCAGGCGCTGGCACCTCGCCAGCCCACGAGGCCAGAGTCCCTACCAACTGGTATTGGGACAACTGGAACGATGGCCCTCCTGGCAGGTCGTCCAGAACACTTATATACTACAGTGGGCTTCACAATTATTCATCGCTCCCTCAGATACTCTAGTCTGCAAGCATAACTATCACAATCGCCGCGTCACTACTATCATGTCGGGGAGCTTTTAACACTACCAGACCAGCGGAGTGTCTAACTCGGGACCTGTGAGTTGTTAATCTTCTTACTTCACATCATTGCGTTTAAATTAACGCTTACAGGAAAAACATCTCATCGATGAGAAGTTCCAGTGTTTCTGGCAATCGCCACAATGTCAACAATTGCATTGCAACGACTTGATTTGCGGCCGCGATCTCTCCCGTCATTTACAAGAGAAACATGGAATTCACGGGTCAGACAAGGATCACATTTTCTGCCTATGGGACTCTTGTTATTTGGAGCTCAATAAGGAGAGTCTTACGAGACACATTGAGGAAAAACATCTGAAGATTGTGCACGCGTGCGGGTGCGGCAAAGAATTCTCGCGCAGAGATACTCTCAACAGACACAAGAGAGAAAAGCAGCATTACTAAATAGGGAGTCTTTTGACAAGGGATCCTGTTCTATCTATGTTCTATCCTATGACTTCAGTTTAAGTATATGTTGTCTATGTTGCTTCCGACGTACTTACTAGCTCTGTTTATCCTGGTGGTATTATATTCTAGTTCATGTAGTACGAAACTCCAATTTTGAATAACAAATTTGTAGCAGTTTGCCGTTACACATGATGCCCAGTATCACGCTGTGACAGGGGGTGGGGGCAATGTGGCCGAGAACACCCCTCTCTATCATGATCATGGGGAACTACCAGACCAATGGAGTATCTGACTCGGAACCTGTGAGTTGTAAATCTTACATGACATGCGATTAAATCAACACTTGCAGGGACATTTTATCAATGAAATGTTTCCGTGTAGGTGGGATTGTTACGCACCAGGATTACATTGCTGCGACTTCTTTTACGGTAGCTACAATCTCTCTACTTATTTACTGGAATTCACGGGCCAGACAATGCTCGCGTTTTCTGCCAATGGAGTTCGAGCTCAATAAGGAAAAACACATGCACATGTGCCACGAGTGCGGGGCTGCCGCCGGGATCTACATTCTCGTCTCCCTCAGACACTCAAGTCCACAAGCATAAACATCACAGTCGCCGCGTCATTACTATCATGTCGGGGGGCTTTCAACACTACCAGACCAACGGAGTATCTGACTCGGAACCTGTGAGTTGTAAATCTTACATGACATCATTGCGATTAAATCCACAATTGCAGGGACATTTTATCAATGACATGTTTCAGTGTTTCTGGGATTGTTACGCACCAGG